GACGGGACAAATGCGAACCAGAACAACTCAGTTTCCCTTCCTTCCCTTCTTCGCCTCAGGCTGAGGTAGAGGCTGCGGGAAGGAGGAGCTTAACGGCGTTGGCGTCTCAGTAACACTAATGGCGGAAGAGCAGCTACTTCCCCTTTTCGCCTCGCCTCAGGGGCCTGACGGTGCTACCCAATGACTTGGCCTGACACGCCCTCCCGCTTAAAGGCATACGGCGTACAGAGCAGCTATCCTTGGGCAACCCTTATTTATTTGCTTGGCGTCTTCCCGCTTTCGCGTTTATTTGGTTGGTTTCCCCCGTCCCCACCACCGCCGCCTCTTCCTCGCTCGCTGGGCGGCTGAAGCCTCGCCTCTTCCCTCACACGCCCAGGTCACATGACGAGCCGCGGAGGCTGCCGGGACGAGGTTTACCCGGTTGTCTGGGTTCTCCGGATTCAATATGGTGGTTCTGGGCGGTCAGCGAGGGGTTGGTGGGGGCTGACAGTTGAGGCGGCGGCTGTCAGCGCCGAAGGGCTGAGCTCGCGTTTGCCGGCCGAGAGTCGGCTTCCGCGCTGAGAGAGAGAGAGAGAGGCAACGAAAGGAAAGGAAGAGGAAGAAGGAGGCGGAGGAGAAGAAGGGCGGGCCCAGCTGGCCAGTAGTCAAGCGGACGGGCCCTTCGCTTGGGCTCTGGCTGGTGGGGCGCTCGGCGGCTCGGCGCGATGGCCCAGCGGGTCCAGTCGGTGCAGGAGTTCCTCCAGGACTCGTTCGTGCCTTTGGTGGCCGCCCTGTGTAGCGAGGAGGCGGAGAAGATCACCCGCAAGAACAACCTGGGCTTCTGCGAGTTGGTCAAGCCTTTCTGTCGCCTCACCTCGGAAGGTCGGTGTCATCCGGGGGAGGGGGAGCGCATCTGGGTGGTTTGCAGGAGAGGGGAGGGAAATCCAAAACGTGGTTAGCCTTAACGGGCAAACGTTTGTGCTAGAGGTGGTCGAGGGCAAGGCGGTGCAACTCATTTCCTTCTGGAGGCACGAGGGAAGTGATTAAGAAGGCTTCTTTCTGTATTTTAGCCGTCCGCAAAGTTTCTACAAGCGGAGTTAAGACGCTGCTGGCCTTCTAGCTCACCTGCCAAGTTCTGTTTGTTTTGCTAGCTCCTTTTGGTTTCCAAGTAGAGGCTTCTTTGAAAATTCAGATTTTTTTCAGCAATAACAATATATAGAACCTCTCCTGTGTGTGTGTGTGTGTGTGTGTGTTCGGGATGGCAATTGCGTAAAATTAAATCTGCTTTTCTTGGGAAAAGAAATTGAACTAAATTGTAGTTCATCTTATGTGTGACGAAACAATCCAGTTTCATATGCCATGGTTCATAAATAAAAGCCTCTTCCAGGCTGTGCCATTACTGGAGACGAGGATGGGTGGAGATAATGTGTAAGCACAAGTCTTGTTTTCTTCAGGATAAAACATTGCTTTATTGTGTTAAGAGGATCTTGAGAGAGCTAGTCAGGTGTGTTACAGTGTTGCTCTGTATTCCATTGCAAAATACAAGATACAAATAAATATGTTAACTGAAAAAAATTGTTGCAAGATGGGAAGAATGTACAGTAAAAGCCTTAGAGTATCCCAACACTGAACAATGGCTTGTTCATGGCATTTGGGAAAATGTGTGTATTTAATCAGGACAAATTAAATGGGTCAACTCTAGAACAACATAACTGATGTTAGTTTTCTTTGTGTTATTTGCAGGTGAGGCATTCAGAGACAGAACATATGGAATGAATCGTTGTCTGTTTGTAAAACTTAAATAACTCTCATGATGTCTTAAAGCAGTGGTCCCAAACCTTGGGCCTCCAGATGTTCTTGTATTACCACTCCCAGAAGCATTCACCACCACCTCTGCTAGTCCGGATTTCTGGGAGTTGAAATCCAAGAACATCTGGAGGCCCAAGGTTAGGGACCACTGTCTTAAAGGACAACTCATAACTTGTATGCGTAGGATGTCCTTGTTTAACTTGATGTTTACAGACGTTATGTCCGCCTGTGCGGGGTATTTGTATACAAACACGAATACCCCCATCTGAATACCCCCATCTCTAGAAATAACCCTGTATTTTGTGTGCATATGGGACAGGGTGTGGAAGCAGCATGTCTAAACATTTTTCATATCTGTTTCAGAAAGAGTGATGAATATTACTTCAGAATTAGTAATCTAACACACTTATTTTCTCATTTTAGTGCACATGAGAGATCCCAACAATCAACTTCACATAATCAAAAACTTGAAAATTGCTGTCAACAACATTATAACTCAGCCACCTCAACCAGGAGCCATTCGGAAGCTTCTGAATGATGTTGTAACTGTTAGCCAGCCTGCTGAAGGATTAGTAGCTAATGTGATTACTGCAGGAGATTATGATCTCAACATTAGTGGTATGTAACAAAACATGGCAATATGCTAAATATGTTCTTCATTTAGAGTAAGTCCTCAGTGTATGCCTAATTTTTATTAATTGATTGTGAATCTTCTAGCTCTGAAGGTTTGGATATTATTTGCATATATAGAGAGCTACATTATTTTTGTTGCTTACTGGTTGTTATTCAAATTGCACATATAGTATATTGTTGTTTTTTCCTAATTAGTAATAGGAAGTTTCTTATGAACACTCACATTTATTTCCATTTTCCTAAGCTATCACTGCTTATTCTGAGTTCTGAAAGAGTTTGGTACAAAGAGGTTCCCACACCTCATTTTTTAAATCCACTCTCCAAAATTGCGCACCCTGATGCCATACTGTGATGAAATTCTCTGGCTTGTGGTCCACTGGCAAGGGAAGAAATGTGCAGAATGCATTGGTGTTAGGGCCTAAGTTTTACTGATAGGGATAGTTGTGAAAATGAGAATATGCATTCTCCTCTTAGGATTCTTTGGAAATAAACATTTATTGAGTAAAAAGATCTTCAAAAAGGTTTTATTTAATGGGAACATTACACATGTGTTTCAAAACTCATGTTTTTTGTTGGTAGGAGTGATTTCCAAAAATCCTTTTAAAATGTCTTGGATTAAAAGGAAGAATGTAAATCAAGATTTTAATAAGTAAAATAAGTTCATGTACACAAGTGTAGTTCCTTTGTATTTGTAATATGTAAACAAAAATAGGTTATGATTTGGTAGTAAAATGTGTGCAAGTTAAAATATGGATTTTCATTTTTCTGAATTTGCATTGTATCAGTTTTCTATTGCTCTTGCATATTTTTATTATGATATACATCTACACTAGTGGAGGAAGTCCAGTCTTTATATGTGAGTTATTTCTGTCAACTCACTTTGATCAGAAAAAGGTATGTATTCACTGAGAGACTGAATGATTATAATACTTGGGATTTTGCTTTTTTTTAAATGGCAGTGTTTTAATATTAAAAGTCACACTCCTAGAAAGGAAGGCATTCATCTGGTTATTCTAAATACTTTACTAGGAATGGAGTTCCAGAGGAAGTAGTCTTGTTCGTGAAAGCTCATGTTAAAATATAGCAGTTATTCTTTAAGGTGCCACAATGTTTTTTTCCCCTGTTTTGGCCTGATAAAATTCAGAGAGTGATCATAAAGTTATGTTGACTCGATCACATATACATGCACATCTTTTTTTCTAGAATACTCTTCATGCCTTTATGCAATTTAATTCTTGTACATTTGTGTGTCGCTTGAACCAGTAATGGAATTTGATAGAAGTGGGAATGAAATATACTTTTTAATCTTAATCTGTTTTTACAACCACCAATGTGTATTGTGTTTCACAGTGCAATCAGACAGTTCCCTGCCTGAAGGAACTTACCATCTAAAATTAACATAGAGGAAAAGTAGAGAAGTGGGGGAAGGCAGAGTGAAATGAGTCAATATGCAGTTATTTCAGCTGCAGATACTTAGGCTTATTTGTCAGGCTGAGTTAACAGTGGCTGAAACATTTTGTTTGGTATAAGTTGCACTAGAGTAGGCCCATTGAACAGGGATTTGGTGAGTCAACTCTTCTGTAAGTTCCATTGATTCAGTTGGGCTACCTTAATTGTGACTTACTATAAATTTGAAATGAAATTGCTTCAAAGAAAAGGTGGGATTTGGAAAAAGATTTAAAGGAAATAACTGGTGGCTTATTGGAAGAGAATTTTTTTTAAGGAAGTAGAAAGAGCCTGTACTGGATCTAGAAGTGGTTTGTTAGTGAAAATCAAATTTTATGGATCAGTGTCATACAAAGATGGTGATGAGATATGTGAATAATTTTGGGAACACAGTGCTGGACAGAAATGGGAGGGCCGAGATGAGAAAATAGATGTGAAGGAGAATATTTCACTAGTCCAGATGGCAGAGGACCATACCTACGATAAACCAGACATTTTTTTCATTTGCAGAATGAGTCTCATATTTTTACAGTGTTGTACAGGAAGAGGTATTGCATCCTACCTGTGGGTTGACTATAGGATCTAAAGGAGAGGGAAGAGTTGAAGATAAAATAAAGGGTTCGTGCATATTCAGTAGAATGGATATTGTTAACGGGTAAGGAAAATGTACATGCAGAGGAGGGTTTGTAAGGCAAGATGAGAAATGCCTTATGGCAGTTCTGTCTCTGCTAAGGAGAAATACCAGAGAAGTGACAAAAGATGTAGGAGTGGAATGAAGGATAGCTGGGCAGGGGTTAGATTTGGGTGCCTGCATATAGGTGATACTGAAAGTTATTGATTTGAAATCACCAGAAACGTTATAAAATGAGAAACAGAGAGAGCAGAAAGACAAAAATGGATTCCTCAAATATTTCAGCAGAGGAATAACAACCTTTAATAAGAGGCTTTTTTATTTTGAGCATTAATCTCCAGTGGAACAAGAAATGTGGCATGAACCTACAGCTATTGTTCCAGGGAAATTTCTTCGCAGATGGGAAAGATGGGGTCAACATTTTCTTAGAAAGTATAAATCTTTAAGTACATTTAAATATAGAAAGTGATTTCAGTCACAAGTCATAATAAATTTGTTAATACATTGGAACACATTGCCATACTTTGGAAATGATACATTTAAAATATAATGTGCAATGACCAGAACTGTATGGGGAATTTATCCCAGCAGAAAAGTAATTGCATACATTATGGTGGCAAATTGCCACAGTTTAACAAATTGCTGCTCACATACCTGGTGATGCTCTGTGTTGCATGACTGGGACATGACTGGTTACACGAGTGGCATCTTGTTAATGAGCTGTGATTTACTACCATGATCTACACAATTACAGTTACGCTGCTATAAACTGTGAATATAACTCTGGCCGGTGTAATTTGCCTGATGATATAAGAAGGATGCAATTGTAGTCTAAATTGTTTTACTGCATGAAACCTGTGATAGTTCTAAAATGTTCATTCCCATTCATCATGTTCATGGGAGTGTTCTTTGATCTGTATCAGTGATAGGAGGGCTAAATGTGCAAAGTAACATCATTTGAGTCAATTATACTTTTACAACTTCTTCACTATTGACCTTGCTTCCTGATCAGGCTGTGCACCCCGAACCTCAATGTCTTCCATTTTATGAAGATTTGAACTCCCCAAGATTTTGTGGATCTTTTTCAAAATAGTAGCAAGAATAGAAAATTCATATTTTCGCGCACAGTTACATTGCAATAACATTGATTGTTATGACTGTATGTTAAAGAGTCTGGCAGAGAGTTCTGTGCATATACTACACTTTCAGGTTCCTTCTTTAGAAAACAGTTCCTGTGTCACCTGCTCCATAAGCTGTCCTTGAAACTGCAAGTGATGTTGTAGAAACTGAAAGGAATACAACCAAAATGAAGCACTCTTTAATTGCAGTGATTTCAGTGGGAGACATTTAAATGTGTTCTTACTTTCTGCATTGAAGCAGATTGTTCTTAAAATGCTTTTTTTTCACATGGTGTGAGGAGGGGTAGGAAATTATGCAAACACATTATCATTTTTCTCTGTTTTCCAGATAGGGATAGTGCCAAATAAAGTGGGGTAATAGCAGATTGCTGTTCATCTTGCTAATACTGCTTAGATTTTTTTTAATATGCTGAGATCTGCTTTGAAATTATTTTAAGTTATGCTTATAAACCTCTTCCTAGCTAATTTCTCACCTCACTCTTTGGAATAGTTACATACTTAAACTATTGCTTAGAATAAGCCCCCTTCCGCTGACCTACTTTAGTATTGTTTGCTGTGATTGCCTGTGCTAGGTAGTGATACCCATGTTAACAGTATGAAATCTAAAGGTGTAATTTAAAATGGTTTGTGTTTTGGAGTGGACAGTGCAGTAAATTATCCACTTTCCACAATAAGCCTTCAATGTTACTGAATAATTCTGTCACATTTAGCTTTCTGAGGAGTTTAAAAATATTGGAATTGTCATTCTGACAAGAATCAACAGGATTCAGTGTGCTTATTGCAGAATAGTGCACATAGATATGCTATGTATTTTTGTATCTGTTTTTGAGAGTATGAAGTATCTGGAGAGATCAGTGAAGGCTTGAACTGTGTACCTCAAGAATATTTGTGTTTAAAATCTCATGAGCATACGAAGCAGGCTACCTTAACCTGAGAGAAGATAAAATGTATACAAATTATCTGCTTAGTTTAACAATTCCATGTTTTCTCTGTCAGATCGCTCAGTTAAAGCTAGTGTTCCTTGGTACAGTAGTTGGAAAGACACACTGATGGGACTGAACACATCCACTTGTTACTCAGGTATTTTGTGTGGCTGGTGTGGGTTTCCCTGTTTCTACTCCCTTGTTATATAAACCATCCGTCTTTCCTTCCAACCCCGTGTAGCACTTTACTTGGAATAGATTTTCTGCTCAGAAATGTTGTTGGTGGCTGGATCCTTCTTCCCTCTTCTGCTGTTGATTAAAAACTAGATGTGATCATTCTGTGTGCCAAAGTGTAGAGAAAATAATTGTCTTTCTGTTTGAAGTGATTTATTTGATTAAGCATGCTCAAATTTATACTGTCTAATTTTCCAGATATTATTCTGCCTTTCCTTTATCATAAATTATTTCTGTGTGATAAATAGTGTTAGAGATGTGGTTGCAAAAATATCTGAATTAATTTTCTTTCTTAACTGGGTTTCTAAAACTCATTATTGCTTCTAAGGTATTTCAGTTTATAGCGTAACAAATATACAGTTGTTTACTTCTTGCATGGAATCTAGATGCCATACAGAAAGAGCATCATATTTTGGTAACATCACATTTTCCTAACTTTTTAAATTGTGGAAAAAAGTGACTCTGGGCTTTGTTAACAGGATTGTTTTACATTGAATGTGATTGTGTGACTTGAAGAGGAGCTCACTAAGTAGTACCTGAGAAATAAGTGATAATGATTTTCTCCCCTGTTACATCTCTCAGATTTCAACAGAGCTTGCTTGGGGGAAGACCACTGGAACTTGCTGGTCTCAAGAAAATTTGCAGATGTCTCCTCTTTCATTTAGATAGACAGCACAAGTTTGAGGAACTTTAGTTACTACTTTATTCTTTTACTATATCTTTCTCTTTCTTTGCTTCCCCACTACAGCAAGGCTTTTCTGACACATTATCCACTATGAATGTACTGTGGTTCTTAAGTTGCATTATTGTGCATAGTTTTGCTCATGTTTAGCATAAATAAGTCCATATTTCTCTGTAGGTTGTGATTGTTAATTTTCAAAATTTATTTTTTGTGCATTTATCTAACTTATGGGCAAAGAATTATCACTGGAGCATAATTATACACTCCACATTTGTAGCTTCTCTTTAGGAGGACTGAATGAAAATTGTCTGTTCTTTTTGAAAATAGTGAAATGCCCCAAAAGCCTCTTGGTAGCAAAGAAGTGAATGTAATGCTGTATAAAATTATGGTAAATGATCTTCCTTCTTGCCACACCATAGATGTCTCAGAAGACATTTCCATAACACCTTGTAAAAAGGAAGTCCAACAACCTCTGTCATGCGCTTGTGTCTCTTCCTTTCCTTACGCCAAGATTCTGCTAAATAAAATGCTGGCATTATGCAGTCTTAAATGCATCAGAGGATGTGTCTTATCTCTACTGAGTCAACTATGTGCATACATTTTAAATGTCACAGATACACATTATAATATAATAGTTAGCCAAAGTTAAGTATTGCACAGATCAGTACAGCATAAAAGTCAAATCAGCATTGAAATATAATGTAGAACTCTATAGACTTACTTGCCTGAAAGATGTTTTGTGCACCAAGAAAATGTATATTTCCTACTGATTCTCATTTATTAAAAAAGCCATTACATTAATTTAATCTCCATGAGTCTTAATGATTGCAGTTAGTGGAAGCATGCCATGTGCTTCTACACAAAATCTCTATAGTTTATAGAGTTCTTCCATTTGTGTTTTCTACTTGCATGTGACAGAAAATTTTCCAGCAGTAAACTATTTTCATGTTATGTAGTTATTTGAAACAATTATTTTGTATGAGCATATCTCTGGCTCAGTATGCCATCAGTACTGAAATATAGCTATTATTAAGGCCCTGTTTTGCCTTGCTGTCAGAGTTAATATAATGACTGAAGTCCTGTTCATAGCATAAGCTCTAGCATTATTTTCCTCCCATTTCTTCCTGGTAAAGAAACTGCCACTTCTGTGATTCTCAGGGGTGCATGCACCCCAAATCAGCATGTGCATGTACCCCTGAGAATCATGATAGAAGTACAGTAGTTTGTTTGCCAGGGAGAAATGGATGGAAAGTCGTGCTTGGGCTTAAGCTACAAACAGGATTTCAGCCAATGTTTATTTTTTAAAGCACATTTAAAATGTTGAGTAGTATATCTGTTAAATCCTTAGACTTCGCACTAGAGATGGGGGTATTCATATAAGGACACCCACCGCATGACTGGAGTTAACAAAGGTCTGGCCCCTGGAACTGGACCATCCACTTACACATCCACCGCCGGGCCCGTTCTTCCTTCCAGTCGCTCCAGAGCACCTGGTCAGCTAACCACTCGTTAGCCTAGCAGGGAGACTCATCTTCCTTCTTTCTGCCAGGAGTGGCTAACTGGCCGGGTGCTCCGGAGTGATTGGAAGAAAGAGTGGGGGCAACAGCAGCGGCGGACACGTGAATCGATGGTCCAGCCCCAGGGGGTAGGACCCTCATTAACTCCAGCTGTGCATCTCTACTTTGCACTGTTCAATTTCAGAAGAATGTTTGTAGGGCTCTTGTGCTTCCTATATTAACAAAAAAGACATTTGGGACCACGTGGATGACACAAGATGTTCAGGGTCGTACATCATCTGTCTTTTAAACTGCATGTGAAAGAACAAGAGTGAGATGGCTTGTAATGGTATAAACTGTGACTGGCAACCTTAAATTGAATTTACAGCCAGTTTGGAGTGGGCACTAGGACAGTAAGCAAACACCTCCAGGGAAGAAGATGACTTTACTTCTACCTGCATTTTACTGTTAAATTTGGCTGTGTGTTTCAAATTGTTATCTTAATCTTGCTACACAAATAAATGTTGCATAATGGGGACCTATTATACGCAAAGTCCAGGTCTTTTTAAAGCAGATGGTGTGGTCCATGTTGTGTCTCCTTTGCTGTTGCCAGAGTTCTTGTTGCCACCATTGCATGAGCCCTGTAGTATGGAATGTACAATATTGTTGTAGCAATGTTGAATATGCTGTGCTCAGAAATGTTAGCTTCTTAAATTTTTTCCTTTTTAAGAAAACTGCTGCATTGTTACTTTCTTAATCTGTTTGGAATATGGTTTAGAAAATCCTCACTCTTAACTCTTTATTCTAAGGAGGTTTCCCTGAAAGTGTTTGATTATAGTAAATAATAATTTATAGCAGGCTTGTCCAACCTGCGGCCCAAGGGCCGCATGCGGCCCAGGTCAGCTCGTAATGCGGCCCAGTGCAATTTTTTATTTTTAAAGAAATTCCAAAGTTTCAAGTTACACTGCTGGCGCTTGCAGCCGGGGCACGTCACAACAATAGAGGGGGAGAGAGGGAAGGGAGGGGACAGGGGGGCTGCGTGACTGCATTGTACCATCCCCGTCAATAGGTGGACCCCCTCCCAGCCCCATAAAGCCGCTGGAGTTGAAGCTGGCAACCTCTGCTGTCTGAGATCGCAGCTGCCGGTAAGCGCGCTTGGAGCGGGGCTGTGGAGGACGGCTAGGGCTGCCTCCCCCATGCGGCCCAAACCAAATGTATGTGCAGCCCAAACCAAATTTTCATCTTCTAATGTAGCCCAGGGAAGGTGAAAGGTTGGACACCCCTGATTTATAGGCTGTAGTCTTGAAAAGACATAATTCTAGTCATACTGCAAAACTATTCAATAACAATTTATTGTAACATTTTATTGTAACAATTTTAGACGATTTACATAGTATAGGCTACAGTCCTATATTCAGTGATGCCCCGCTTAGCGACATTAATCCGTTCTGGATTAATCGTTGCTATACAGAAACATTTCAATGCGGGAGGGAAAACCCCATAGAAACGCATTAAACTTTGTGAGGTTTCCTCCATAGGGCCACCATTTTTGCTGCCTCGGTAAGTGAGGGCAGCGCGGGTGGCCATTTTGGAATCGCCGATCAGCTGCGTGAAAATGGGGCCTTTGGGAGGAAAAGCCCCCATTTTCACACAGCTGGCCGGTTGGGGCGCTTTGGAACAATGGCGGGGGAACCCTTCCCCTATGGACGCTCCAAAGGGCCCGCCGAGAAAATGCCGGCATATAAAAAAAAGGCACTCATTGCACTGCAGTTCAAGTTATATAGGACTGGCAAATAGTCTCAGAGTTTTGTGTCAGTGTAGTATACAGTTAGAGAATATGTTGACAATAACAGATGTGGCATGTGCAATAGTTTTTTGTGTGTGTACTTGAAAAGCCATAATTCAAATTTTAATATTTGAAAAGCTATAGTTCTAATTTTAGTTTTAATCATACTACAGAAATATTCAGTAAATAATTGGTATCCTTGAACTTCGTGTTTTTTTCTCTTTAGAACTTCTCTTATAGGTTGTAAGCAGTAGAAAAGATTTCACTACGAGGTAGTTTATTTTCTTAATTCTAAAGATTTCTGTAATTTCTAATTTATTTCAGCAACCACTCCATGGTTTGAAGCTTATCGAGAAAATTTTCTTCAGTCTATGCCAGCATCTGACCATGAATTCCTAAACCACTATCTAGCATGTATCCTTTGAAACAGAATGAAATTATGTGAGCTCTTAAAAGAATCAAAATAGTACTGTTGATCTCTTGTCTAAATCCATCATTACACTGCTAACCAACCACTATCACAGCAAAAAATCCCATTTCCTCTCCTCTGTGGTTTCCCCCTCACCATGAGGTCTGCTCCAAAGGGTTTCACAGCCCTTCAGAAAAAAAAAGTTTTCAGGGCACATGGGGACTGAAAATGATGAGGCCTTCTCTCCTTCCTGGTTCTAATGACTGAAGCAGTTACAGTAGTAGAATAATGCTTTTAAATGTTTATTTGTAGTCAGTTGATTTCTGTAACTCATTTCCCATAATATGTGGAGCTTAAAATGATTTACAAAACCAGACATAATTACTATTACAGTACATTAACTTCATAGCATTAACTTAGTTGCCATTCACTTGAAACAGAACTTGTCTGTCATGCTCCTATCTGGCTAAAGTCTGATGGTCAAGCTTGTTAAAATGCTAGTAAATGATAAGAAAATTCTGATTTCCAGAGTCTTGCCTATGAATTACTAATTGGAAATAGGTTTTACTAATGCTTTGTGGTATTGAGTTTATACTGAATCTCTTTGAATATTTGCAGAATGCTGTCATTTGACATTAATATTTAATGGCTTGCATTGCTGCAAAAGTTTGGATTATTGAGACGTCTGTTTTATAAATGTTATTTTCATATCCTCTGTCATCATTCAGCCTCTTACCCAGATTCCTAAAAACAAGTGAGAGCACTAGGATTATTGGTAAAATATGTATATGTGCTTTCTTGCTACACTTGGTTTCTTTACTAGTGCTGAATTTCTAGTTAACTTAAGATAATGTTTTTGAAGGTATTTTTTTCCATTGAAAGTTGGTTACATTCAGATTATTTTTCTCAAAGAAATAAGTCTGGGGTTCTTGTTATTCCAAGTTATTGTGACTCATCCTTAATATAAATTCAGGTATGCTTGTGGTGTCATCTAGTGAACCTGAACCTGTGGAACAGTTTCTAAAGCTATCACATGAGCAGCATCGTATTCAACATAGTAATGAATATACTTACCCAAAATGGTTTATTCCAAATACACTCAAATATTATGTGTTATTGCACGATGTGAGTGTAGGAGAGGAACAAAGGTGAGTGGGGTTGCTTAAATGGTTTCAACTGACACAATGGCCATTGTATGAAGGAAGAGCCTTGTGGCACAGTGGTTAAAACGCTGTACTGCAGCTAAAACTGCTCACGACCTGGGGTTCAAATTCCAGGTAGCCGGCTCAAGGTTGACTCAGCCTTCCATCCTTCCGAGGTCGGTAAAATGAGTACCCAGCTTGCTGGGGGGGCAATGTGTAGCCTGTATAATTAAAAATTGTAAACCGCCCGGAGAGTGCTTGTAGCGCTATGGGGCGGTATATAAGTCCAATAAATAAATAAATACTGTAAATAAAATACTCTGCCTGAATATAGGGCAACTGCAGTTTTCCATCACAAAGTTGTATTTTCATACAAGCAATATTTTGCATCTATGAATGACTGGACAGACATGGATTATCTGTTATGTCTGTTTCGGAAAATATTATTAATAATTAATTAATTAAGCTAAAAATATTAAAAAGAGAAAGTACTTAAATTGGGAGGATTTACAAAATAGTGAAGTTCTTCATAAAGTCTGATGCTATCCTTGCAATGCATTGTTTACTATATTGGTACTCCAAGGAAGTACATCTTTACAATCAAATTAAAGCTTGTAATTTACAAGCAGTGTCCTCTGCTTCATTATTATATCATTCCTCATGTAGTCATAATCTGGAATGAATGGTACTGGATACAATATCTATTGTAGGAACAAGTAACTTGTGAACTTCAAGGTTGGTGTAAGATTACATTTCCTGTAAGTTATAACCAGCATAACGAACAATGGAGAATGCTGTGAGTTGCTCCATGATGAACTAGTTGAGTGTACAAATTATTTTTTAAAAGGCACAAGCTTGTTAAATGTACAAAAGGAAAAATTTGGGCATTTTTACAAATAATGTTTCAGTTGGTCTGATCTTGATCTAGTTCCAAATGCCACTTGTTATGTTTATAATTGAACATCACTTGAAACAAATTAGTTATAATTTAACTTCATACTTCGGAGATTTTGTTTTGCTACTAAAAGCACATTGACAGGCCACTGGAATACTAATGAGAAAACTGAGAAATTATTCAAGATGGAAGTCTGCCCATCCTTGATGCCAATCATTCTAAATGACACTGGTTGCTCTTCAGTGAAGTTTCTAATGAATAACCAGAACCTCTTTCTGAAAATTTGCCCTGTGAATTAGGTGCCATTTATAACTCAGTATGTAGTTTATATGAGTAGTAAAGTCTTGTAAAAGTAAAGATAAATAGAATTTCCTACAAAAAGAATTACATATGTAAAATATTTTTTACAATATTAAATGTATTTTCAGGGCTGATTCAGTTTATGAAGAAATGAAACAGAGATATGGGACTCAGGGATGCTACCTACTTAAGATAAATTCTCGTGGGTCTAATCGAGGAGGAGATGAACAAATTCCAGATCCTTGGAGCCAGTACCTTCAGAAAAACATTATCCAAACCCAGGTGTCTTTTTTGTTACTTAATACTTGAAGTGTAACAAATGTTTTCCTGTAATACATCATTTTTATTCTATTGGCATATATTTTTGATTTCCTTATTTTTTTTTCAACTTCATTTGAATGGATTTTCTGGTCAAATGTTTTCAGTTTTGGAAATATTCCTGAACTATCTTTTAATTAGACAACATATTTCTGACCGTAATTGTCCTAGCCAAAATTTTCTGGGAGTGTATTTTTTAAAATGCCATTATTGAGACTGAAAACATTTTGTCTTCTCTCTCTACCTATGTAACATGGATCAGGACCTCAACTATTGAACAGAGTTTGTATAAGGTCACAGTTTGGAAGATTTTTTTTCAGATAATAAAGTTCAAATATTGCTTGAATATATTGAAACCAAGTTGGAAATATTTAAAATTCAGCATCCAAACAAATTTCCTTTGAAAGGAAATAAGTGACATGTAAAAGATTCTAATCTTTAAAATGTTGTAGATGTTGAAGTTCTTATTTTTTTTTGCCCCACAGGAGCCTTATGAAGACAGCCCCTGTAGTGTAGTTTCCAGTAAGAATTCTGATCATCTCATACCATTGGATGGGTTGGATAATGATTCCAAAGGTATGTCTTTTTAATAGCTTTAAGAAAAATTAAGCTGATACTCATCAGAATACCGCATCACACCATGACCTGTTTTTAGTCAGTAGTGTAATTGCTATATGTGCTGTGAGCTGGAAGTCCCTGGCTCAAATATCTGTTCTGCTTTCAGCTCATTAAATGGCCTTTTGCAAGTGGCTGTCTCAGCTCTACCCTTCCCCACTGAAATGTGGCAGTAGTACTGATATATTTAGCAGGGGTTTTGTGAGGAATGCCATGGTAATCTATTCAAAGTGCATTGAGCTTTTAGAATAGTATCAAATGCTGTGCAAAGATGCTCTTGATTGCTTAAAGAGTTATCCAATAACTCGTGCTACAGCATTCATGATCATTAAGGGAACACCTTGATTTTTACAAGAATCAGTTTTGCCATAGTACAGTGGTGCCCCGCATAGCGAGGTTAATCCGTTCCGGATTAACCTTCGCTATGTGAAATCTTCGCTAAGCGGGAAGTAAAAAGCCATTGGAACGCATTAAACTTCATTTAATGCGTTCCAAATCGGCCCTAAACTTCCCACTTAGAGAAGTTTCCTGGCCCCGGGCAGCCATTTTCGCGCCCTCGGCAAGCGAGGGGAGGGCGTGTAAACGCGGCGCGGGGCCATTTCGGGTCATCTGGCGCCCATTTTGGAGCCGCCGAACGCGGCTCCACAATGGCCGCCGGACTCCCCAATCGTCGCAATGCGCGTGCGGCGATTGGGTGCTCCGTATAGCGATCCCGAAAAAGGGGATCGCTATACGGATTCGTCGTTATACGGTGCGCTCGCTAAGCGAGGCACCACTGTATGACTAATTGCTGCCCCTTTTCAGCACCTGGAAACACTCACATCAGGTAATCTGACATGACTGTGGTTTTTACATGATTGCCTTATTGCAAGTGAAGTAGAAAAGAGTGCTGTGGGTTATATACGTTTTTAAAACAGCTTCCTGCTTTCCAGGCACTTCTGAAGTTCAATATGTCTGTAGTTACGGAGCTCCTGCCCTTCAGAGTTATAGTCAGACCAAAATATAGTTGCTATTCATGACCCAGCAAAATATCTTTTAGTAGAAATGTAACCAGAGTATAAGATCAGATAAAACTGATGATGTGTATAGTAATTCTGTCATATAAATGTAGAGGCAAGTATAGTCATTTTGAGAAATGGCAAAACATTTCATAAATTTAGAGCGACTTTAAAAATATATGTATTTGTAGATTAATATGAATTGATCATTCTAGTTACCAATAAAGGCTAAATTCAGTTGCCAGTGTTAATTAGAGTAGATCTATTGAATGACTTATGGCACTAGTTCAGCCAACACTTACATAAGTACAGTTGATTATGTTGGTCTACTTTAATTGGGGCTAACAATTGGATTTAGCCAAATGATTTTCGCAGATTATTACACGGCCTTGAATATGCCTTTTCTGTTTTCATTTTGTGATAACATCTATTCATTAAAATGTCAGATAGAAAACAAAACAAAAAAACCTGAAAAAGACAACATATTTGGTGTTTTCATATGATTATCAGTTTTAAATGTCCTTAGTTTTGCTTTAGGATTCTGAGCAGGAGCTGCCATTCCACATTTTTTTAATTATGAGTTGAAGGCATAGAAAGGGGACAACACTACTTAAAATGTGATGGGCACTAACCACCAAACTGGTGGTTCATGTTGATTCATTTTTTACCTCTGGTAGGTGCCCACTCAGAAGCACTGCCTTTGAGTGTTACTAAGTCAGTGTTACTGGGTCAGATTCATGTCTGCCCCATGAAAGCTTTTTTCTGTACATGGAGAAAATTGGGATCGGATAGGACTAACTGTATCACAGTTTAATTCTGTTCTTCCTTCCTGCTCTAGATTTCAGCAGTACTTTCCACCCTGTTCTGGAGGGCCCAGAAATCTTCCAGAGCAAAATGTCAGGGGGCATAGGGAATACAGATAAGATGCATGATGGGCAAAAAACAGTTTCCTCTCTTCTGCCCATGAAATATTTTAATTTCAGATCTTGTCTCTGTAAATCTGGCGGCAACTCACTGTATGTAAAGAACTGATGACTTTATATAATTCTCGTATTGCGTAGAAAATCATGACATAAGTGATTACGTGGAAACTTGGTACATTTGTGCTGTGAATAGGAATTCCTACCATTAGAATGCAATTTTGAGTAATTATTCATATATTTTGTTTTTTTAGTAGATGGTTTGTCAAATTACTTTAAGCCTCATCCACTCCAACTGGATCACACCAGTGACAGTAGTTGTTTTGATGGTACTGATTATGTAAAACCGAATGCATCTATACATGAGTCAAAGAAGACAAGCACGTGGACACCTCATGGCACCTGTTTGACACTCACAGATCATGATCGCATTCGACAGTTCATACAAGAATTCACTTTTAGAGGGCTTTTGCCACACATAGAGAAAACTATCAGGCAGCTTAATGACCAGGTAAGTGATTCTCTACCATATCTTTTTAGCAACATTTTTTCTGGTTGATGAATATACTTAAACTACATTCAGATATAAATCTTTTTATCAGAATTATCTATAACAGGCCCAGCCAAATCTGATGTTTGTTTATTTGGATGAAAATGCCATTTCATTGCATTGCACTTCTGGGCAGTATGCATCTCTCCAAGACTAATTTTGTGGCTTTGAGCTATCCAATGATCCTTCCATTTTTTTCTGAATAGGTGCATTTCCTGGAATATTCCAGCTGTAGCCATTCAATCTTTAAATGAGTCTTGGGACCCCTTTTTTTTCACATTTAGCAGTCCAAATGAGGGAATTTCTGCTAGACACTTTCAGCTTTATTATTCTGTTACTCTGCATATTTTGGATTTTCAGTGTTCTTTGAAGTATCCCGGGGCAGATAGTTGGCCCCTGCAGCAGCTAAACTTGTCTAGCCCTGGGATGGAACTAACTATGCAAAATCATTATTATCATATTCTTCATCTCCCTCCTCCTTCACTACAATTAGTAGCTTTTCAATAGCAAAGAGACAATGAAATAGCACATGCACACAGGCTTAGAAATGACAAGTAACACAACTTATTATAGCTATTCATTTTAATGTATTTAATAAATGTTAATAAATCTTACAAACATAAGAGCAAAAAAGTAAAAAAAACACAACGATCATATTCCCTTACAGGAGAGGTAAGAGCCACATTAGTATAAAATTTGTATCAGTTCCATGATAATGTTTGTTTTCGGTCAGAACTGTGTGTTGATCTGTCATTATTTTAATTCTTTGATTCCATTGTGTTAAAAATTCTACATGATTGTGTTACTAAAGTTTTGCTATTGAAATGCATGCATAAAATTGGTTCAAAGTTGTGTTCATAAGTGGAAAGCTTCTCTAGTCCCACCATTCTGTTTCAACAGCAGCCAATTAACATGCCAATGAGAAGTTCATAAGCAGGATACGAGTACAGCAGCCTCCTCCTGCTCATGTTGTGTGCCACTGCTTTCAGATGCCTTTGATACTAGATATCATTTATAGTGATATCCAGCGAAATCGCTGTAGAACAAAAACGTCATAATGTGAAATTAAAAAGCCCATAGAAACGCATTAAAACTCAATTAATGCGTTCCTAGGGGCTTGAAACTCACCATCCAGCAAAGATCCTCCATAGCGCAGCCATTTTCGCTGCCTGTGCAGTGAGGAATCCGTCCCAGAAAAGAGCTGGGAGCCATGTTTTTTGCCTGGCGGCCATTTTGAAACCGCTGATCAGCTGGCCGAAAATCATCACTTTGGGAGAATCGGTTCCCGAAGCAGGGAACCGATCATCGCAAAGCGAAATTCCCCAATAGGAAACATCGTCGCAAAACCTTCAACGTAAAGCGATTTCGTCATGAAACGGAGTGCTCGTAATGCGAGGCACCACTGTACGTATAGTCATTGCACAGCCAGTCTTCTCCATGAATTTGTCTATTCCTCATTTAAATGCTTAAACCTGCAGCAAAGAATTGAAAATTGTGTTAAATGCTTTCCTTGAATCCATCATTATACATTCAGTTTCACTGGATGACTTCTGGATTCCACTATTATGAAATATTGAGGAAAATGCTATCTACATTTTCTGCACTGTACTGTACATGGTTTTTATATATCTCTGCCATTTCTTTGCATGCACATGTGTATTCCAAGCTAGAAAAGCTCCAGTGTTGTAACCTTCTCTCATAACTGAAGTGCTCCAGTTTCTTCATACTTACTGTTTTCTTTTCTCTTTTTCCAATATTGTTACAGTTTTTTTAGAATTTAAACAATATTCCAAGTTGTATTTATAATGTAGGCATACCTAAAGGCTTTATGCTATTTGGCTGAAATCCTGTTACTTAGTGAAAGTCACTCTTGAGTAAACCCACAGTGTTTAGTACAGTAAGTCACAACTAGAGTAGGCCCATTTGAATAGATGGAACATATGGAGGAGTTGACAAGCCCCCTTGATTCAGTGGGATTACTCTAGTGTAACTACATTAAGCAACAGGATTTCAGCTACTGTTAATCCAATTTAACAACAAAGCCTAAGTATGTGCAGCTGGAACAGCTTCATATTCTCAATTTACTCCACCCCATTTCTCTCTCTCTCCTCTATGTTAAATTTAGATGTAAGTCCTTGAGGCAGAGGTATGTCTGCTTGGACATTGTGAAGTGTGGTACAAACTGACCTTACTAAATAAAAAAAACCCTTTACTTTTAATTTAAAGTAATTGTGATATGATTTGTTAGTAATATGTTGATCTCATTTTTTCTAGTTGATATCAAGGAAAGGGCTGAGTCGATCACTCTTTTCTGCAACCAAAAAATGGTTCAGTGGCAATAAAGTGCCAGAGAAAAGTGTAAATGAGCTGAAAAGTACTTCTGGTTTGCTGTGAGTAGATCTCATTAAAAATCACTTGGCTTTTGTTAATGTTTTATTGATTTTCATATATTCCCTTGTTATTTCTCTTGACATTGACTAACTTCTTGGCTGTGTTCATGTGATCACAAACTTTTAAGGAGACAACATGTCGATCTCGAGCTGACTTAAAATCTTGGCTTGTAGCTTCCTAGATTTGATGTAATAGGGGAACTATGGTTAGTAGAAAACGTCTTGTTTAATTTCAGTTCACTAATAAAGGAGAGGAGATGGTGCTTTACACATGGATAACAAATTGTATAGGTCTAGAAATGCCCATATTAAACTTGAAATATGGTTCTTATTGCGCCATAGAATATATTTGCTCATGTGTTCATGATGCTCAACATCAAAAAAAAACTAAGATCATGGCCACTGGTAAGCCCCGAAATTAAAAGACGCCTTCTTCTTGGGAGGAAAGCGATGACAAATCTTGACAGCATCTTGAAAAGCAGAGACATCACCTTGCCAACAAAAGTCCGAATAGTCAAAGCTATGGTTTTTCCTGTCGTGATGTATGGAAGTGAGAGCTGGACCATAAAGAAAGCAGACCACTGAAGAATTGATGCCTTTGAATTGTGGTGCTCTTGAGAATCCCCTGGACTGCAAGGAGAACAAACCTATCAATTCTGCAGGAAATCAACCCTGAGTGCTCACTGGAAGGACAGATTCTGAAGCTGAGGCTCCAGTACTTTGACCATCTCATGAGAAGAGAAGACTCCTTGGAAAAAACCTTGATGTTAGGAAAGTGTGACGGCAAGAGGAGAAGGGGACGGCCGAGGATGAGATGGCTGGACAGTGTCTGCGAAGCAACCAACATGAATTTGACCAAACTCCGGGAGGCAGTGGAAGATAGGAGGGCCTGGCGTGCTCTGGTCCATGGGGTCACAAAGAGTCGGACACGACTAAACGACGACGACGTGTTCATAAAACAAAGCACTGCTACAGCTGCCTATATGTTAAAGCAGATGTAGAATACTTCAGGTCTTGACACTTAATTTGACTATCTGGGGTTCCTTAGGTGACCATGGCTCCTTCCCCATTATACTGCCATGTAGTAGTTTTCCAGGTTTTGGAAAAGTTTTTGCCCTATTCAGAAATGTTGGGTTGGGTTGGGTTGGTTGGTTGATTGATTCATTGATTGATTCAACATTTCTATGCCATCCATCTAGTGGCAAGCCACTACTCTGGGCGGTTTACAAAATAATGAAAATAACACAAAACCCCAACCCCCATCCAACTCTTAACTGATCTAAAAACAACCCGATAAAAAGCCAGGATTGAAATGGGAATTCCCAAGGAGAATCAAAATTATAACACAACTAGATACCACTGTAAGGCAAGGGGATCCTGGAAAACTTCTACAAAGAGCAGTGTTTTAACTAGCCTTTGGAATGTGACTATGAATGGGGCCTGGTGCATCTCCCCTGGTAACACATTCCATAAAGAGGTAAAAGAAATCCCTAGTTACTGGCAGTAGAGCCTTTAAACTAGGATATACTGCTGATTTTATTCCCACTCTTGCCTTTGGTCATATTTGCTCCTGGAACATGAGCCTTGATAACTCAGTTTCAATTGAGCTTTGATAAATTCCACATACCCCATGTTTTATTTTCTTAAAGGTACCCTCCAGAAGCACCAGAGCTTCAAATCAGGAAAATGGCAGATCTTTGTTTCTTGGTGCAACACTATGAACTGGCCTACAATTGCTATCATACAGCAAAAAAAGATTTTCTGAATGATCAAGCAATGCTTTATGCAGCCGGAGCACTGGTTTGTACATGAAAATGATTGTTGTGAAAATGAAAACTATTTCCTGTTTTTTTCCTGTGTGTTTTGTTTTTCAAGAGTCTCTCTTGGTAGGATATTAGTTACATGTACCTCTTAATTCAGATGGTTTGTTTCATTTAATCTGTTTCAAAATACCTCTATTTAGATAATTTAAAAATAAGGCTATTATTCTTGCAAAACTTTATAAGTTACTTCTGTAGGACGTGGTGATGGTTGCTAGCTAAAGAGACATTAGATAGTTTTGTACAAGATAGGTTGTTGGTGTCCATTAGACATGATTGCTTTCTTGATCATTTACTCGAATGTCAGGTGTTGGAAGGCAAACAACAGGAGAAGCTTATTCAGATTCAAGTAGATCACAATCTGCCCTATAGTTCCCTCATAGGTCTCACTCCTTAGTGAAGCAGGGAAAGAAATCTCAACTGACTAGTGCTGCAGATGATAGTGTTGATTCGTTGGCCTGCTTCATTTCCCCTTCCTTTCTCCAGATTGGGAAATGATATGGAGAAGAAAGAAGCTGTCTTTTTGAGCCATGCGGGGGTGGCTTTCCATACATTTAGCAAGGGAATTGGCTAAGCTGTATCTTGTGCTGTCCAATGCCCTCCGAAGTCATCTGCCCTGAGAAAGGATGGTCAAGAGATCCTTCTCGTAAAAGCTCTCCAGTCGTGGAGTAGCAGTTTCCTCTCACCTAGTAGGACCCATCTTATGTGTTTATGGAATAAAGAAATTAGAGTACAGTGATGCCTCGCTTAGCGATTGCTCCGTTTAACGACGGTGAAGACTTTTTTGGAGCATTTTTGCGCTTCGTTTAACGATGGTCCCTATGGGCGATTTTCGCTTAGCGATGTTGGGACCATGCTTCGCATAACGATTAAATTTTTGGGTCCCCTGTTTCGCTTAGCGATGGTTTAAACAGCCTCATATTTGCTGTTTTCTAAATGTTATAAAGTTAAAGTTTACTGTTTAAAATGTTTGAGATCATAAAGTGCACTTAATAAACCCTTTGTTAACCAAATTTGACTTTGTTCTGACTCTTTTTTAATTTGTTGTTGAATTTTTTCCCCCCATTGAGATGCATTGAATAGGTTTCAATGCATTTCAATTGGGGAACCGCGTTTCGCTTAACGATGTTTCCTATGGCAATTTTCGCTTAAGGACGGCAATTCGTTCCTATTGGAACAGATTATCTGGTTTTCACTGTGAAACCGCATTTCGCTTAGCAATGTTTTCGCTTAGCAATGAATTTTTCAGAACGAATTAACATCGCTAAGCAAGGCACCACTGTATGTGAAGGCTAGAGTTTTAGACATGATTAGTGGTTATGCTGAAATGTTGCATTTTAAAAACAGAAAAATGTAGAGAATGTTTTAAGAATTAAATGAATATTAAGCATTCAGAGCTAAATAAACTACAGTACTTAATAGCAACAAGGATGTTTCTTATATATGTTAATATATGAAATTGAGCTAACTTTAAATCTGAGAAAAGCAGTCTAGGGAGCTGAATGTTCAAACCATACCGATTTCTTTGTGACATGTTGCTACCTTTGTTTAGATCTTCTGTTGGAATTTGCAAAGTGTGGGACTGAAATCTAACTTAAACCCATGAATTTATGTAAATGTGAGAAAAACTCTAGTGTAAAAGAAGTTATACATATCCCTGCAGTTGGTCCCAAAGTACTTCCTAAATATATCAAAACAGGTGGAATGCCATATGAATATGCACATTTGCATTTAAAAATGGAATTTATTTATTTATTAGATTTCTATCCCGCCCATCTAGACCCAAGGTCCTCTGGGCGGAAGTTAACTTTTAGAAGTTAGAGCAGTTGCCTGCAAACTGTTGGCGTTTCTTTTAGCGGACTCTTGAGCTTTTTAAAAAATTTGCCCTAGGTATGTCAAAGTCAGATAGTGTTTGGTAAAGTTATTCTGCTATGGACAGACAATGTCCCAAACAATCTTTTTAAGCTAGAGGGAACTGTGTGTGTTAAAAGTGGTTCTAGGGAATGAGAAGAAGAAGCCAGTGGCTGAGATTTTTAATTCTTGCTAAGCTTCCCAGGAGAGTAGCCAGCCAAAATCACCCAGAGCATGTATGGCTGATGGACTTGCATGCCCTTCTTCCTGTGTGGGTGTGGACAATCTGCATAGTTGCAAAGCACCACTTGAAGGAGGTGTTGATAAACCACTTCTGAATACTTGATACCTAGAAAACCTTGGGGGGAGTGTCATTATAATTCAGAATCACTTGGTAGCACATAGTTATTATTAAAGTAAGCAATCTAACCCAGGCCTGCTACAGATGTGGAGGCAGCAGAAAGTTAGGAATAAGATCAGTTCTCCAGTCCATTTTATTTCCACCTCTCTGTCTGAATCCGATCTTATATATAACTGTTGCAAGCTCAAAATAAATTGGCTAAATACCTATTCTTTTTGTTAGCAGTGTCAAAATGACTTTGGAAGGAACGGTGACATGCTTGCCTAAAACACAAATTCATTTCCCTGCAAAATGTTGTTGACATATAAAAGTGTCTGTATGAAAAGTTTGCTTGCATAATTTATTGTGATTAAAACTCAGTAACAAAAACACTTTGCTGATGATTCTGTTTCATAGGAAATGGCAGCAGTTTCTGCTTTTCTGCAGCTAGGAGCCCCAAGACCATATCCTGCTCATTACATGGATACTGCAATTCAGACTTATAGGGATATCTGCAAGTAAGTCTTCTATTTCCAGTTCTTCTTTGAAGAAAATAAACTATTAGTCTTACTGACATTCTTCCTTGCCCAGTTATAACACACTATTGTGTAATATTGGTTGTACATTGTAGTAGTTGAATGTGAGAATAAGAATAGGCAATACCTTTATAGACCACTAAAAAAATATACAATCTGCTAGCTTTCTTGGATCAGGATCATCCGCTTCATCAATCGTGTACTAGTCGGAAGAACTTAAAGTACAAACGTTCTTGGCAAGATGTATTTTGCCAGGCACGTCTTTCTTAAATTTAAGTCAGGAAAGATTAAGGCTGCGTTAGAGCTGTTGTTTTAAAGTTACAGCGGAGGCAGCTTTGGATTAGATATCACATCCCAATTCTTCAAACAAAGAGATACAGCCCATGCACACACCCAAACATGATTTTCCTGGGCTGGTGGGAAAGTGACACAGAAAATTCCATCTGGGAATTGGGGTGATAATTTTGTAAACTCACTAGGTTTAGCCAACTGAGGTCAGATTAAAGCCAAAATAATATTACCCTAGTTGTTGCAGTCCTGCTTCACTGATGTTGAGAGTCTTCTTGTTGGTACAGGGGATGGTGGTTATTTCTTGGTATCTTCAAGTTGAAGTGCAACTTATTCAAGTTTTATGGTTGGCTAGGTAAAATGCAGCTTTGTAGTTACCTCTGGTTTATCCGAGAGCAAAGCCAAATTACCTGTTTTTCCAATTGTGTAGTGATTTAATTGATTTAGTTGTGTAGCAGTTGTAATTCTTGACTTCTTTCAGCCTGTGATGCTAGATTTGGTGGACAAAGCACTTGATGATCACTGTTGCGCCACCATTTCCTCCCTTGACCCTTGCCAGGCCTGGCTAATCAAAGCAGCCAGGCCAGTAACAACAGAATGGGCCACTGCAATAATTAATTGGTCTCTCCAGGAGGATAAGGTTCCCCTTGCCCTCAAGGAGACACTCATTAGGCCCATTGGGAAGAAACCAAATTTGGTGGCGGATGACATTGGAAATTATAGGCCCGTCGCCAATGTTTCCTTCCTTAGTAAAGTAGTGGAGAGGGTGGTGGCAGACCAGCTTCAGATGCTTCTGGATGAAACCAGTGCCCTGGACCTGTTTCAGTCGGTCTTTAGGCCATGCTATGGTATGGAAACGGCACTGGTCGCACTGTTGGATGACCTGTTGAGGGAGGCCGATGGAGGCAATATGTCCTTGTTGGTCCTCCTCAACATCTCAGCCGCCTTCGATACCGTCGACCATGGTACTCATGGGGAGGCTCTCTGAATTGGGAATTGGTGGCCTGGCGCTTGCCTGGCTCCAATCCTTCTTGGAGGTATGTCCCCAGAGAGTACAGCTTGGCGAGAATGTCTCGGCCCCATGGAGCCTCAATTGTGGGGTTCCGCAGGGGTCGATCATCTCTCCAATGCTGTTTAATATCTACATTAAGCCGCTGGGTGGGATCATCAGGGGGTGTGGGGCATCGTGTCATCAGTATGCTGATGACACACAGCTCTACATCTCCTTTTCATGTACTTCAATGGATCCCGTTCCGTCCCTCCAGCACTGCCTGGAGACTGTACTGGAATGGATGCAGGCAAATGGGTTGAGGCTAAACCCGAACAAGACAGAGGTCTTGAGGGTGAGCGGTCCTTCTGTCAGCAGTTTGGGTGACTCCCTTTCTTTTGGGGGGATGACCCTCACTGCAAAGACCAAGGTTCGCAGCTTGGGGGTACATCTGGACCCGGCGCTTACCATGGAAACCCAGGTGGTGTCCGTGGCCCGTTCTGCATATTTTCACCCATGGCAGATTGCCCAGCTGCGACCTTATCTTGACGGGGGGTTCCTCACTACTCTTATCCACACGCTCGTAAGCTCGAGGTTAGACCATTGTAACGCACTCTTCGTGGGGCTGCCTTTGAGATTGATGCGGAAACTTCAAATGGTGCAAAATGCGGCAGCCAGGCTTCTTAGTGGGGTGAGAAAATACCAGCATATCTCCCCCACCCTGGCTGCTCTGCACTGGTTGCCCATCCGTTTCCGCATTGATTTCAAAGTGCTAATGATGACATACAAAGCCCTAAACGGTTTGGGACCTCGATACCTGGCAGATCGTCTTCTCCCACCCAGATCTACCCGAATCACTCAACAAAGCCAGCAGGGACGGCTGAGGGGCCTTACGACAAGAGAGGCCCGGAAGGAAAGAACAAGAAACTGGGCCTTCTCGGAAGTGGCCCCCTCGGCTATGGAATATCCTTCCAATGGAAATCCGTCTGGCTCCCTCGCTGGGTGTTTTCAAAAGCCATTTTAAAACCTGGCTCTTTAGGCAGGCCTTCCCTCCAGTCAATTAACTGATTTTCTGTTTCTTAACTATCCCATCTTGACAATGTATACAGTATAGACTTTAGCTATTTAGTTAGTAGGTTTTATTATGTATGTTATTTTATCGTGTTTTATTACTCGTGTAAGCCGCCCCGAGTAGACTTTGTCTAGAGGGGCGGGGTATAAGTTCAATAAAAGTATAAAAAAAGTATAAAAGTATAGTTGTATACAATTGTATTTGTATAGCATTTGTAATTATTGAGTTATCACAATTTTACTGAAGAAGAAACCCAGTTAGATCTTACACAGATAATTTTGTGGCGGAAGATAACAACCTAATTTTTTGTTACATTGCTGGGTACCCTTCTTCGCAGTTCTGCCCATTGTTACTGTGTTTAATAAATTTACTGTAGCAATTGAACAATTCAATTAAAATGTGTCCTCTTTATATACTACTGTGTTTTGTGACACACATGAAGCATGCACTGAATGATATGTGTAATAGCATTTAAATTTCTTTTTTAGGAATATGATGCTGGCTGAGCGATGTGTGCTGCTTAGTGCTGAAATATTAAAAAGCCAAAGCAAATATTCGGAGGCAGCAGCTCTCCTTATACGTTTAACCAGTGAGGTAGTGAAGATTTTATATGTCCTTGTCTATTGTTTAGCTGTTCTTGTGTGTTGAAAACCAATTGTTTTTGGTGGAAAAAACTTATAAAACTCCAGAAGTTTCTAGGTGGGTGAAATAGTATTTGGATGCATGGTCTATCAGTTCATGATTCTAATTTGTGTGTAATTGCACATCATTTACCCTGGTCCTTGTCCTCCACATTTGTTACTTTATGAGGAATCATGAAACAATGGCCATTTTAGTTACCAAGTAACTATGTTTAGAACATCATTTTACTGTTATTTGTATAAAATTTGTCAGGAAGCTAAAAGCCACAGTAAGCCACAGATGCATGTTATCTGTGAAGGAGAAAAGTTAAGTCCATTAAATCATAGAATAATGAGAGGGCCTATAAGACCATCCACTGACAAAACTAGGCAAGAATGTTATAAATATTGGAGAGATCTAATGCTGAGAATGTATGCATTTTTTCATGCCTATTAAAAATCATAGACGTTCCAGTTGTAACATATTAGCTGAAAATGAAGTGAACACCAAGATGCATTATTAAAAAAATGAGGAGTGGTGTAATGAGAGATGAGATTAGAAACACAAATGGTGGTGATGATTTGAAGGCAAGTAACTTTTATAAGGGCAGCAGGAAAATTGGACTGAATTAGTCCTGTTCTATTACAGAATTATCCAGAAAGTATTGCTTCTCTGAGGTTTTACGAGAGATACTTAAGCTTTATGTTAATTAGGCAATGCAGATTCTGAGAAACAGATTTTTCTCATGTTTCAGCATTGCAGCTCAGAGTTAAATTTTATATTCTGTACTTGTTCCCTATCTCTTCTACTTTCTGTTTGTTTTAAATATGTTAAAGTTTATATTCTTGTTTTTGTTTTAATTTTTCTGTGGAAAAATTGCAGCAGAGCGCTTGGATGGGAATGGTGAGTGTTAGAAATGTTAGCTGGAGGGTTAGGTAGTGTGTTAAATCTGTTACCACTCATCTGTGTGCCAGTCTACTTTGATATCTAGATATTGATCAACATAATATTGTAAGGCAAATCATACATGTTGGTAAATATTTGTGGTTCAAGAGGTGAACATGGGTATCAAAGTATTACAGTAATTATAGAATTGTGGAGTGAGAAGGGATGCTGAGTTTCATCTAGTTCAACTGCTTGCTGATACAGGAAATCCACAGTTAGAGCATCTCAGACAGGTAGACATCTAACTTGTGTTTAAAATGTTTAAGCAAGTGAGAGTCATGACTCTCCATCAGGTGATGAACAGTTTGCTCAACAATTGATAAACAAGGGCCAGATGAAACATTGCCTTTTGTGGTCATTAAGATATATGTGAAGATACTGAAACCTGTTAGAATAGCATATTTGTGAAAAGTCATTTCTTTCAGGTTTTAGCACTGAATCAGTTTTATATTTATTCTACAAGCATTTTCCATAAGTCTTGTCTGTGCTATCATCAGTATTGAACTAAAAACTTTGGCTACAGTAAACCTTTTCAAAACCTGTGGTACTACAGGCAGTCTTAAAACACAACTGGTTTTACCAGGCTCATACTTTGTCAAATGCAATATTGACATTTGTAGGCAATAACAAGATAAACTTAGAGAAATATTTGGCATCTAAGTTTACATCCTAGAAAAGCTTCTTGTTCAGCAGACCTAAATTGTATTTATTCTTCTTAAATTCAGTGTCCAGAATCCTATTGCTTATGTATGCTAGTGTACGTTTAGTGGTTTAAATCATAGTGGCAAATTCCTGCTATTTAAAGAACAGCTGCTTGTATTCCTCATCATGTGTGAGTTATATTAGTCAATCTTATTGGCATGTAATAAGAAATATAGGTTGCAACTCCATAATTAGCATAAATTTGACAATTCAGTTTATACTGTTATGTCTAAGCAACACGATTCTGGCCACTGAAAGGAACCTACCCTGTAGCAAACTCTCAGCTCATTTCCTTTCTTTTCCGGATAGTTTTGTTCTAACTGAAAAAAAGTGTGTGTATTCGCTGTGGGAGTCCATTGTAGATATTTGCTATGGAATTCGGATTAATATATTCATCATTAGCTTAAAAAAGAGAATAGATACATTTTCTCTTCATTAGAAATATGGAGGTTTCTTACATATGGTTGTTGTATGTTTTTCAGGCTGTTATGCAGTGTTCTAGAGGTTTTTCTTTCTAACATTTTGCCAGTCTCTGTGGCTGGCATCTTCAGAGGACAGGAGTTAGAATGCTGTCTGTGTTCTGGTGTAGTGTGTGGACACACTATGCCAGTCTGTGGACACACTACACCAGAACACAGACCGAGTTCTAACTCCTGTCCTCTGAAGATGCCAGCCACAGAGACTGGCAAAACGTTAGGAAGAAAAACCTCCAGAACATGGCAAAACAGCCCGAAAAACCTAGAGCAACTATCGAATCCTGGCCATGAAAGCCTTTGAGAATACATTGGTTCTTCCATAGTTTTAGACTTCAGAGTGTTCTAATGCTCTAGTGATGATGTTAGGTTGTACATCACTGTTTAATTGAAAATTGCTTTTTTATTCACTGTTTTTAATAGGATTCAGATCTTCGAAGTGCACTGTTGCTGGAACAGGCTGCACACTGTTTTATAAACATGAAAAGTCCCATGGTTAGAAAATTTGCTTTTCATATGATACTGGCTGGGCATAGGTACAGTAAAGCAGGACAGGTAAGTTTTGTATATTAGGTTAAAAAATACTGGTTCTGTCACTGTCTAAATAAACCCACACCTTTCTGGATCTTTATCAGAGGTTACTGTTTTTTTTAATGCAGATAGAATTCCTCCATTTTGGTTCAGTTCTAGAATGTATGATCTCTGGGTTCAAACTAAAGAGGCTGGTTGGCTGGCCTTTTGGAGAAGCTGCTTAACTTCCTCAGATCTCTCCTTTGGAGGGCAGTATAGGGTGATGTTTGGGATGCCTTTTTTATTGTTGCAGAAGTACAGTACCAGTGATGCTAAGGTTTTTATTTTTTTTTAAGTACTGTCAAAACATCACTGATTTGCTGTATCAGGTATCAGCTATGAAAAAGGAATTGCCAGCTTTGTCTCTGTTCTCCACCAAAGGCAAGGAAGCTGTAAAGGGAAACTGTAATTACTTAATAGATTGTGGTTACAATCCAGTTGTCAATTCACATATGCGTGTAACTGAAATTGTAACTAGCACCTCATAAATTAATATCAGTTGTTGCCATGAGTTTTATAATTTTAGTTATGCATGCATAAGTCAGCGATTTTGGCCTGCATTATAATACAGTGGTGCCCCGCACAGCGAGGTTAATCCGTTCCGGATTAACCTTCGCTGTGGGAAACATCGCACTACGGAACACAAAAAGGCATTGGAACGCATTAAACAGCATTTAATGCGTTCCAATGACATAGAATACTCACCGTTGTGCGATGTTTCTCAGGGGCCGGCAGCCATTTTCGCGCCCTCCCCTCGCACAACGAGGGCACCAAAATGGCTGCCATCAGCTGTCCGGCGGGTCCAAAATGGCCACCGGAACAGCCGAAAGGGGCCGGGGCGCAGCGTTTTCGCACCCTTGGTAAGCAAGGGGAGCGCGCGAAAATGCTGCCGGAAGCCCCGAAATGGTTGCGCGCAGCCATTTCGGGGCTTCCACAGCGGTCGCAAAGCGAAGGTCGGTAAGTGAGCAGCTTACCGTCCTTTGTTCTGCGATTTCCCGCCTATTCGGGCACCGTTTTGCGATCGCATTTGCGATCACAAAAATGGCCTCATAGAGCGAATTCATCACTCTACGAGGCGCCCGTTGTGCAAGGCACCACTGTAATTTAGTCTTGTAACAAATGTTTGGATTGAAGTTATTGTGTTACTAGCTTCTGTATATATCTTCTTCTGTTTTCATTGTTCAGTTGTTTTGAAAGATGATTAAATTCTGACACTTCATAGTGATATAAAATATTGTTTCCTATATCAGAGGTCATCAACCCCTGGTCCGCGACCCATTACTGGTCCTTGGATTAAGCCCGACCAGGCTGCCAAGATAGACTGCCCGCCTCCCACAGCACACACTCACCTCCCCGCAAAGGTTGTTTGCATTTGCTCGCACACTCGTGTGCCTGCGCAAACGATAGCGCGGCCTCCCGGAGCCCAGCTGGAAAGCCAGCAGCGCGGATGGACCCAGTGGCTGGAGGCAAGAGCCCGGGAAATTTGAATGGCCTCCCCGCCAGGCTCTGCCTCCAGCTGATGGATCAATCTGTGCTGCTGGCTTTCCAGCCGGGCTCCTTGGCTGTTCTCCCGGGAAGCCATTGGGCACTTTCTCGGAGAAGCAGGAGCAGGTGGAATGGAACTGCTGCTCAGCGCCTCTTCTCATGACAAAGGAGAAGGGGAGGGAGTGCTCCTGCGCTTTCTGCCCGGCCTCGCTCCCAGAGAGCAGGGGAAACTCTGCATCCCATGTCAGGCTGGGTGAGAGAGTTCAAGGCAGGAGACTGTTGGCTCCCTGCCTGAGGATGGGAAACCACCCAGCCCTGAGCGGGCGAGGCGGGCTTGCTGCCTCCCCCTCCTGCCTTTTCCTACTTCCCTCCGATGCTGGCAAGCGAGCGACCCAGCTGAGTGAATAAAAGGCTAGATTTAGTTTGCTGACCATTGCCAGTGCAAAGGTGAAGGCACCACCGCCCGGCCTCCCGGGCTCCAGTTTGCAGGGATCGGCAACAGGGTGGCCCTTTTCCCAAGTCGGCGTTTTCTCTCCCACCCCGCCCTGATCAGCTCTGCAAAGCGGGCTGGCAACACCCGCCGCCCCGGCTGGTGGAAAATAGGCCAGGGAGAGGGAGGGAGGTGATAACAGCCCCCCTATGCTGAGGTGTGTGTGTGGGGCAGTGGGCCCGTGCTTCCAGGCAGCAACCAGGAAGGCACGGTAGGGCAGGGAAAGCCAGATGATCAGGGCGCGCAGGGGATGAACCGTGCAGCGCCGGCGAGAGCAATGACCAGGGGGAGTGCGGCTTCCCTCTGTCCGCCACAACTGGCCTCGACGCGAACTGGGGAGCAGCCCTTTTGTGCGCTGTGAAAGAGCCCTGGGTGCTGCTCCCAGGTCATTTTTACACATGAGGCTGAAGAACAGCAGCACCCTGCCTGATCTCTTGGTATAGGTAGAGGAGAGGGATAGACAAGGATGGGTGTAGCGATTGGCGTGAAAGAGGGAGGGAAAGAGAGAGGGAGGGAGGCAATGACTTCTTCCTGCTGCTGATCACCTTTGTAGCAACAGCCCCCCCCAACGCCAAGGGTGTGTGTGTTTTGGCAGGGGAGAAGGTGGCAGTGGGCTCGTGAGCGTGACATGCCCACCCGCAAGCGCGGGGGTGCACCGCCCTCCACCTGTCCTTGCACGAAGCCAGTACCCCCAAAATGGTCCGTGGTCCCAAAAACGTTAGTGACCACTGTCCTAGATAATGGACTTTTAAAATCCTAAACTCAAAATACAATGCTCTGTGCAGTTGGTTTTTAGTGTGTTTAAATTTTATCTTACAGAAGAAGCATGCTTTGCGGTGTTATTGTCAAGCCATGCAAGTTTATAAAGGGAAGGGATGGTCACTTGCTGAAGATCATATAAACTTCACTATTGGCCGCCAGTCTTTTACACTTCGACAACTTGATAATGCTATATCTGCCTTCAGGCATATTTTGATCAATGACAGCAAGCAGACTGCAGCTCAGCAAGGGGCTTTTCTCCGAGAATATCTTTATGTTTATAGGGTAAGATGCCAGATTTTGTTCTAGTGGAATCTTGAATTAATTTTCAAGTTGCTTTCAAGATTAGTTTTCAAGATTTCTAATGCTTGGCATGTTGGTTGTGAATATTCTTATTTGCTGAAATCCTGTTCTGTAAGTTATGCTACATAAGACTGATGATGCCATTAGCCATGTTTTTCCCCCTAAATAAAAGATTTTTGACCACCACCACCCCCAAAAGGCCCTGAGGCTTCCATGGAATCCATTTTGTTGCCAGAAAGCTGTTTGAGGGCCACAGAATGGAGCTAGTGAGGCCTGCTGTAATCAGTACAGTTGTTGCAATAGCGGCATTTTTTTTAATAAATAAAGGCTTCACTCCCAACAGTTGCCCAAGGACAAAAGGGATTCCATGAGATCTTCGGGACCTTGGGTGGGGGCAACATTCCTTTTAATTTTCAGCCCTGCTAGGTGGGCCTGTGCCCCTCTTGCATGTAATTCCACCCCCCCCATGTGGGGTTCTGCTGCAAGCAGGAAGAGCCCTTTGTACAGGGGGCAGAGTCGCACACCTTAGAGGGAACCTTGGGTGGGGGGAAAGAATTGGAAATTTATGGAATTGGAATTCAGCATTCATTGTAAGATATTTTTGTGCCTGAGGGGAAAAAATCAAAATGCTGCCACCTTTCTCACTTCTTAATGTGGGGCATAGCACATTCCCAAGTTCTTCTGTGCAAGGCACATTCATTTTAATTGTTTGTTTCTCAGGCAAAAGTGTGACATCAGAGAAGATTTGATGACCCTAACAAAGTTGCCTTAACATCTATAATTAAATTTAAAATGTTAATAGATCTTTCTCTTGTTTTTGTTTCTGCCCCATGTTGACATATTTATATCTAAGATATAAATATCTATATTGAAGGAAGTACTAGTTAGAAGTTGTAAACTTGGAGTTTCTTCTTCTAGTACTGTCTTGAAAATTACAGTGTTTGGTGCTATCTCCACATTAAAAACAGCAGCAAAGTATACAATTAGGTGAACACACTGAAATATTTAATTAGGGTAACAGAGTTGTAGTTGTGTGAGGCAAAGATTCAGTAGTTATGTATGTTGGTTAATTATATTTGCATTAAAGACAAGATACGTAATATTCTTCTTGTGAATGTTTTCTTACATATTCATTGCCTTGTTCAATTTCATATATTCCTACTCCGAACACTAATATTTCGGTCATTCAAAACATGTATGAATTTTAGTTTCTGAATGTAGGTCAACATCAATCTGTTTTTTCTTCTTTTTAGAACGTAAGTCAGTTATCACCGGATGGACCTTTACCACAGCTTCCTTTACCTTGTATCAATAGCTCTGCAACACGAGTTTTCTTTGGACATGACAGAAGGCCAGCAGAAGGTTAAAATTTAGCTAGATTCTACCTTAGGTTTAAAGAACTAATTAGGATAGCATGTGATAAGTATTAGGTTGGATCTACACATGCAACAGGATAAAATGATGAAAAGCTGACTTGATATGCTGTACCATCCAGAAGTATAAAATTAACAAACTGGAGATAAGTGTTCATGCCCATCTTTTTCCTTCTTAGACTGTCCTTTCCTTTGGGGGCTTTTCTTTTCTGACTTGAGAGCATTAAAATTTGATTTCCCCACCTGTAGCTGGAAAGTGTGCAGTTCATTCTATTCTACTCTACCCCCTCAGATAAGCAGCTTTATCAGTGATGGCACCTAAATATTTAGTTTTCCCTTTGTTAATATTTTTGTTACACTAGGACTAGCTATGCTTATTCTCTTTGTGTGTTCAAGTAGGAAGTGCTATATGGATTGAAAAGAAATAATGAATAGAGTTCTGAAATCAGAATTTTAGATGGCTAGATTGGTTTGAGAAACTCATTGCTTAACCCATTAACTCTGCGGTTTCCCTGCATATTTAGTTTTCTTGTTTCCAGATCTCCCCTGAAATTCATTTGGATTGTTTTCTTCTTGCTAACAATATAATCTCTTCTGAAAAGAGACAAAATGGATATCTGAGAAAATGTTACATTATTTCCATGAAAACATGAAATGAGCAAAGGAGATTTAGTTTGTGGGATTGTGTTCTCTAGTGTACTGAAATGATTATGGATTTTTTTTGTTCATTTATAACTAGGTGAGAAACAGGCAGCAACCCATATAAGCCTTGATCAGGAATATGACTCTGACTTTTCACAACAGTGGAAGGAGCTTGAGGAGCAAGTTGTGACAGCAGCAAACAAAGGCACAACACTCCCTAATTTCCAGCCAACACAGTATTGTCTGAACAAATACTCGGATAACTCCAGATTTCCACTCAGTGTAGTAGAAGGTAAAATGGTATATACATTTTAATTAAGAAATTACACATTGCCATAACATTGATTACGTAAAGCTACTGTATGGAATGGTACTCAGTGTGGTGTGGTAGTGGGTGGAGTGGGACTGTGGAGACCAAGATGTGAATTCCAACTTGGCCATGGAAACTCACTGGGAGTGTGGAACTGTTAAAAGCACTTCTTAAATATCTCATGTACAGTTGTGCCTTGCATTACGATGTTAATACGTTCCAGCGAAATCGCTGTAGAACAAAAACATCGTAAAGCGAAATTAAAAAGCCCATAGAAACACATTAAAACCCGATTAATGCATTCCTATGGGCTTGAAACTCACCGTCCAGCGAAGATCCTCCATAGCGCGGCCATTTTCGCTGCCCGTGGAGTGAGGAATCCGTCCCAGAAAACAGCAGGCGGCCATTTTTTTACCCGGCGACCATTTTGGAACCGCTGATCAGCTGTAGGAAAATCGTCGTTTTGCAAGAATCGGTTCCCGAAGCAGGGAACCGATCATCACAAAGCAAAATTCCCCCATAGGAAACATCATTTTGCGATCGCAAAAACTTCGCCGTTATGCGATTTCATCGTAAAACGGAGTGCTCGTCTTGCGAGGCACCACTGTATTTTGAAAGCCCTAATAGGATAGCTATAAGTCAGTTCCAACTTGACAACACATAACTAACTGTACAGATTAGCTTTGTAGTTACGGAGCATTGTGTGAATGGCTTGACTTACTCTCACATGTTGTAAAAATGTCATTCCTAAAAATAAACAATGACTTTCCTTTTTAATAGAGCCAATAACTGTGGAAGTAGCTTTCAGAAATCCATTGAAAGTTCCACTTTTGTTAACTGATTTGTCACTGCTTTGGAAATTCCAGCCAAAGGATTTCAATTCAAAAAGTAATGAAGAAACAAAGGAATTGGTAAGTAATCAGAAAATGTCCTGTAGCAAAATTTCATATAGTATTAGCAATAAATAGTTTTGTTTTAAATGGTGAATAGTGAATTGATGCATACCATCATATATTCATTTTCTAATTATTACTGGAAATAATTGCATCCAGACGTCATGTTAAACCATGACTTAGCATTACTGGAACAAGTTTATCTTCCTGTCACTAATTCCCACTCCATTTACCCGTACTATAGCCAGAAGTAGAAGACAGGAAACATCACTTTTAGTTGTAGATTCATTGTAGTTTGGTGTTTATCCAAATTCAAAACTGTGAATAATCTTACCTGGTTTGATAGAAAATAAGCTGGTTGAAAGTTGTCTTGTTCCCACTAACCATAATTAACATTAACCACAGTCTATCTAGGTTTGGAATTCAAGGGAAGCTGTGATCAATCTAAGGCAGTTGGAAAACTCCTGCAGTCCTTTTTTGTTTTGCTGGAGGAAAGAAGAGAGAGAGTGGAAGCCTGAGAGAACACTAGCAACTATGATTTAGTGCAGGAGTGGGCTGGGTCTGAGCTGTGGACTGCATGTGGCTTCCCTCTGACTTTTTGAAGCTCTCTCTCTCTCTCTCTCTTTAAAACTGTTTTAGTCTAAAAATTGTATATATGCCACCTTTTCAGCATTAGATTACACACAGCATCTCTTCTTAAAAAAACCAGAAAAAATGCCTTTTCTGGCCTGAAACATGTCAGGAGGAAGGGGGACCTTAACTTTAAATGGTAAACTATTTTCTTGGGGCAACATTTACCATTTTAGACAGGACTAAAAAGCTTCCACCCCACCCCCAAATGGGCTAGAGTTAGAGGGAGAAAATGTTCTGCAAACTTTGAGGGGGGGCAAAAATAACCTGGATCCTCAGAAGTCATCTTCCATGACTTAGTGTGATATCTACACCAGCCTAAGTTTCAAATACATTGAAATCTACTGTTCTGAGAAGTATTCCTTTCTCCTGTTTAATGCTGGAAAACATTCATCTATTTAACAGAAATAGTATTTCAGATTATTTTTGCTTTCTAGGAAACGTGTGGGAAGGATATGATTGGAGCTGAAGTAATATCAGAATTTTTGATTAACAGTGAAGAAACTAAAATGGTAGGTAGTTTGTTGAAGATGCTTTTAATTACACTTTTTTTTTAAAAAGGCGTGACACTCATAAAGTTCACATTCCTAGCAGTAAAATAGATGTGAAAATGTAGACTTCTGTGAAGTATTTGTTTTAAACAGTTTTCTGGAATTTTGTTCTTTGTTCAAGACAGTAGAAAAGTTTCCCTCATGAGCTTCATATGAACAGTTTCGTAATCCTTGAAAATTTCTAGTCTGTAGAATTGTGCAGGCATATATTCAACTCACAAATTTTGAGAATAGCAAGACAAAAATAGTTGCCTAAGCTGTACATTGAACACTGCTATTGTTTTCTATTTTATTTATTTATTTATTTTTATTTATTTAATTTTTATGTGGGTTTATATGTCAAAACAAGCACTTTGAATTGGGCCCGAGCAGCAACTGGTAGCCAATGTAGCTTAAACAGAAACAGCTTGATATGTTCCCTAGCGGCTGCACCACTCACCAGCCGCGCAGCTTGATTCTGATTCTGGACCAGTTGCAGTCGCCGGACCATCTTCAAAGGCAGCCCCAAATAGAGTGCATTGCAGTAATCTATGCGGGATATTACCAGTGCATGTATAACTATCATGAGACTCTGCTCGTCCAGGTAGGGCTGTAGCTGGTATAATTTCCGCAGCTGAAGGAAGCCGCCTCTGGCCACCAAGTCTACCTGGGCTTCCAGTGTTAGACTGGGGTCCAGGAGCACCCCCAAGCTGCGGACCCTGTCCCTTAGGGAGAGTGTAACCCCATTCAGGGCAGGGAAATGGCCCTCCAGCCTGTCCGGCGAAGCATCCACTAACAGCACTTTCGTCTTGTCTGGATTGAGTTTCAGTTTATTAACCCTCATCCAGTCCATTATCACATCCAGACACAAGTTCAGCACAGAAACTGCCTCACCTGGATTGGTGGAAAACGAGAGATAGAGCTGAGTGTCGTCAGCATATTGCTGACTCCTCAGCCCAAACCTCCTGATGACCTCTCCCAGTGGTTTCATGTAGATGTTGAACAGCATGGGGGACAGTATTGAGCCCTGAGGAACCCGATGACATAAACACCATGGGGCAGAGCAACTGTCCCCCAGCACCACCCTCTGGACACAGTCAGCCAGGAAGGAGCGGAACCACCATAAAATGGTGCCCCCAACTCCCACCCAGCTAGCCTATCCAGAAGGACACCATGGTCGATGGTGTTGAAAGTTGCTGAGAGGTCCAGGAATATCAACAGGGTCACACTCCCCCGGTCTCTCTCCCGGCAAAGGTCATCGTACAGGGCGACCAAGGCAGTCTCCGTACCAAAGCCCGGCCTGAAACCCGATTGAAATGGATCCAGAAAATCCTTTTCATCCAGCAGCGCCTGGAGTTGCCCAGCCACAATCCGCTCTAACACTTTGCCCAAATAAGGAAGGTTCGCTACTGGTTGGTAGTTAACCACCAGCCTTGGGTCCCAGGTTAGGCTTTTAAGGAGTGGTCGAATTACCGCCTCTTTCAAGGTGGTAGGGACCACTCCCTCTCTCAAAGAGGTGTTCACGGCCTCCTGGACCCAGGTGCGATCCCCCCTGTCTGATCTTCCAATTAGCCAGGATGGGCAAAGGTTGAGTGGAGTGGTGGTAGAACGGACAGATCCAAGCACCCTGTCCACATCCTCAGGTCTCAACAATTGAAACTCACCCATTAATACTTGACCTAAACATGGCACACTGGACACATCCTCTGATTCTGCAGTAACTGTGGAGTCCAACCCACTGCGAAGTATGGAAGTTATTGCTTTGCTTGCTTTTTTTGTAACTGAAATGGTGCATAATGTAAAATAACTTACCCTAGCAACAACAAAAATTTAACGTATCTCCACAGGCAAGACTAAAGCTCTTTCCCCATCAAACAGGGGAGCTACACATTCTGGGAGTCGTTTACAATCTTGGCACTATTCAGGGTACAATGATGCTAGATGGAATAGACCCTTCTGTTACATTACAAACAGGTAAGCATATTATACCTACCATATTTTCACCAAAATCTACTTTAGCTACTCTTCTGTTTTGTTGCTCGGCTTTTCCACAAAGAAAGCACTGAGAGGGCTTTTGTTGTTTAAAAAAGCAGTAAATCTAAACTAGAAAAAGCAAAGTGACTTGCATAAAAATAGTTGCAGATAAAAAAGTAGCAGATATTACCTAAAATTTATTTATGTATTTATTTTATGATTAGCGAATTAATGATTGTATCAGACTGTCTATGGCTTGTTGCTGACATATTCTGAAGCCATTAACCATAATTTACTAGTGAAGATGAAACAGAAAACTAGTTAATTGAAAACACCCTAATTTACTTCTGTGCTTATAAAAAGGAAGATGTGACAGAATGTCAGCATGGCCAAATGTTTCATTAATATTGTGGCTTATTACACTGTGATATGATTATACACTTAAAATCTTTTTATGCCACTTCCTTTCCCCCAGATACAATACTGCATGTCTAGATTTCTACTCAGTAGCTTACATCATGCTGTAATGATTGTTCAGTATTATATTTAAGAATCTTGTGCTCATTTGATTGCCTCTGATCTGATTTGGTGGCAAAGAGAAGATAAGAAGCATTTAATTCCTGCTGCAGCTATAAGGATTAGCATTATGATTTATTGAAACAAGCCATTATCATTAATTTGTCTGAAGTTGTCTTGACCCTGTAAACCATAGTCAATGCAAGCTACAGTTTATCTGGATTTGGACATGGGAGCAATGGTGATTTGAAAATGGAAAAATGCTTCATGGTCTCCTCTTTGCAGCTGCATTAGAAGAGGAAGGAGGATGATTCAGGTATTGTGCACTAAATTGCAGATGAACATTACATAGGAACACAACCAATACAGCTATAAACATTCACTGTAATGATGTGGTGACATTGGAAAATGACTACATCACATTTAAGAAGCTCTGCTCCTTACAGTAAAGAACCTCTATTCTTGAAATAGTGTTGCCTGTTTTAGTTTCAACTCATGTTTGCAAACCAAACTTAGATCCATAAGAAAAATGTGGTTTAGGCCCAGTCTTGCTTGTGAAGTCTTCTGCTTGTGCATTGTGGGAAAGCTTTTACTGCTTTTTCCTCACTGAAGCCCCTGGTCTTCCCTGAAAAATCCTCCTGAACATCTGGAGTGACATAGAAAGGTGCAGATGTTTGCATTTATGTTTGTAGGAGGATTGTTGTGCAAGACTACCATTTGTATAAGTCTGTGTGCAAATGACTTTGTTAATCAAATTATGACAAGCTGGAATGTTATCATGCAAACATTTATAAATAGACATTAAAATCATGTTATTAACACTGCAAAGTCTATTCTTTGTAATTTTCGGATTACTCTATTAATCATCTTTTCAGTATCAAGCACGCCTTAACTAGTTATATGCCAAATTCTAATGGCATCTTGAATATAATTTTTTTAAGGATTTTAGGTTTTGGTTATGGATTCATTTTATGTATTTCAAGGACCTGTTCATTTATTTTAAGGAAAATATTTCTCTAGTGGAATGTCAGTACGAGGGCGTCAAGATTTGGAAATTCAAGGCCCTCGCTTGAATAACACAAAGGAAGAGAAAACCTCTATTAAATATGGACCAGATCGGCGTTTAGATCCTATTATTACAGAAGAAATGCCTTTGCTAGAGGTAGAACCAATTGTTGACACTATTCTCTAATATTTTAATGGTTATGTTTGAAATTAAGGATCTGTATCATGTAACAAAGGGGTGGGCAATTAATTTCTATAGGAGGGCCACATGAAAAATCTAAAGTGTATTCGGGGGCTGAACCAACTTTACTTAAAAATAAAATGAAACAGTGATGTTATGGTTGTTTTTATTTTAAACTTGTTAATCTTCACAAATACTAAAGAGGTTTTTTTGCGGTAAGTTAAAAATAAGCAACTGCCCACCTTAAAAAAAAGCTATAAAGCACTTTGCCCAGGTCTGATGTAACAGTGTGTGCAACTTGCAGTTATTATGTGTCAGAAGACTATTTTTAATTTTTCTGTATTCCTTTTCTAAAAATTTGAGAGGTGTATGAAAACTCCCTCTGATTTTTTTAATGATGATCCCAAAGTGAAGGACTGTTATCTCACCAATTAAACCATGGTAATCCATGTTACCAAAATCAGCCCTGTATACTGTATAGGAATTCACTTCCTCTGACATGAATAGAGGATTGAGGACACTACTAGAAAAACTTATACAGTGAATCTAAATTGCCTGTTAAAGAGATTAATTACATAAGAAAATAAAATGTCAGTTTTCCAATAGCAAGTAGAGTTTATGGAAATGTACTTTGATTTAAAATGTTTGATTACCCTTCATTAATATGTAACAAGACTCATCCCCAGCTAAATAAGATTTCAATAGCTTTTACTACAGATAAAGTTTCCCTAAATCCCACCCCAGCTGTATGTTCACAGTCAGGGGCAAATCCTCTGCTTTCGGTTCTTCTTGCTGCTTCTGGCTTTCAGTCTCATGGATTCCTGCTGAAGGTCTCTTTGGTTAGACCTCTCTTGATGTCTGAATCTGGGCTTTTCTTCCTGCCTGAAACGGTACTATGACTTCATAACAAGGTTTCCAATTCAGCTGCATGCAGTTTAAATAAAATAAAATACATACATAAATGTTACAGAGAGCAATTGTTCTGAAACCTTCTGAGGTTTGCTCCCTTTACCACCAGATCTTTTCCAGCTGTCTTACACTATACCCCATAACTGTCCCCTTATTGAATAAAAGGCAATGTATAAATAAAATAAACAGTCACTAATAGTCCCTTTAAAAAGTTTTTTTTGAAAAATCCAGGCCAGAACTTTTGATGAAGCTCAATTTTTATGGGTCTTCTAACTGCCAATCAAACGTCTTGGCTATTTTCTTGAATATCCTTTACATAATAACCATTGTCATGTCAGCCATACTTGTCTTATGTTTCTTGTCTACTTACTTATATTATAACCTCATTAAGAGGTCATTCATAGAATTTAAATATTTCAAAACATAATAATACAAATTCTCCATGATTTGCCATGTTCATTTTCTTGCCTGTTGTATATTGGATTTAAAATATCAGGCTGTATTTGAAGTTAGAGTAAACTTTTAAGTCTTCCTGCATTTAGCAGGGGGTTGGCCCCTTCTAACTTAATTATTCTATAAGTTCTATTCTATAAATTATAGTGAAGTAAACTTAAAGTGCCAACTAGCATAATCTGAAACTGTATTACACAGAAATGTATGTTTTGCTAAGGTTCAATGGAAACAGTAGACATGGGGTTTTCTGAGTTTTGGGGACTACTGATCCCATTACTCTCCATTCTGGGAGTTTCACCTGACAGACAAATTCCTATGGACATCTAAATGTGGATTACCTGGGAGAAAGTCTTGAACTGGAAGTCTTTGTGGCCTAGTTAGGCATAACTCTGTCTAGCACCCTGTGCAGAAGGACCCTGCTCCATTGCTAGCTAGAGGCTTTCTTTCTGATTAGGGAACTAGATAGAGCTAGGTTGAGATAGGCCACAAAGTCTTCTAACTTAAGGCTTTCTCCCAATTGAGCCATATTTAGGTGTTTGCAGGTTTTTTGTGTCAGGTGGGACTTCCAGAATGGACAATTACGGGACTTTTAATTCAAAGAATCAGAAAATCCCATGCCTACAATGCAGTACTTACTGCAATCAAGAACATCATAGATTTTGGTTTCTTGTCAAATTTGGCAAATTGTCAAAACCTATTCATATGTTTCTCTTCCAATACAGGTGTTCTTTATAAATTTTCCTACAGGGCTGCTTTGTGGAGAAATACGGAAGACATATGTGGAATTTGTGAATGTGAGCAAGTGTCCTCTGACTGGAGTGAAAGTTGTTTCTAAACGGCCAGAGTTCTTTACCTTTGGTGGGAGCAGTGCCATTCTAACACCATTAAGTCCATCAGTATCCGAACACTGCAGTGCTTACAAGACTGTTATAACACATTCTACCTCTGTATGTTCACTGGTGTCTTCAGCTACTTCTTCAGACTTTGGGGTTGCATCAGGAAGTCAGCCTGAAGTAGTAGATGTCCCACTTCCTGACTCTGTTCTTCTCCCTGGAGCTTCAGTACAGCTTCCCATGTGGTTACGTGGACCTGATGAAGAAGGTGTTCATGAAATAAACTTCTTGTTTTACTATGAAAGTATTAAAAAACACTCAAAAATGAGGTAAGTGAGGTTTTTAAAAAAGTTGTACTTTTAAAAAAAGTTGTATTTTTCCAAATTAATCTAACTTAAAAAAAATTAATATAGTGATCAGATATCTGCATTTTAATCCACTGTTACTAACTTTGTTAATACCACGCACCCTTTGTAAGGTGAAAAATTATTGTGGGGAAGTAAAGAGAGGCAATATTTTTATATTGTCAAGTGAGTGACCATTTCCAAGGCTATATTATTCAAATTCTGAAATTAACTTTTAGTATTTGGGGTATGTGCATCTGTCATACTGAAAACATAGGTGGTTGTGTGCTGTTGCAGATATATGAGATTGTTGTGCATTTCTCTTGTGAGAATGTCTTACTTCAAAATATAGGTCAAGATCAAATGTGTCACTACTGAAGTAAATAACTCTGCTAACATAATTGCAGTGGTCTCTTGTGTAACTGGCTGTTGAACAAAAAATTATACTGGATTCTATCCTTGCACTAACTCTGTAAATGCATAGATGTTAATACAGTGCACCTTATATTGATAGTGACTCAGTTCATCTCACGCATGGTAATTGTAAGGGTGATTGACCATTACCTCTTTAGCAGACCTGTAGTAATTGACACTTTCTCCAAGAAACCACTGCCAGTAGCAAGATATTTTTACTTGGCAGATGCTTAAGAACCATTCTTGTTCTTACCATTCCAGGCAGGTGACCAAAGCAGGGAGCTTGTTTATTTAACATATTCGTATGCTACCTTTCTATTAAAATATCCAGAGCAGTTGGAACTTTGATCTCCTAGTGATCTCTGCTTGGCTTAAGTTACAGCATCCTCCCCAAGCTTACTGTAAAGTACAGATGTGCATTAGAACCAAAATTCATACTCATATTTGGTACTTGGAGTTACAGCCCTTCAGATTTGGAATTTTAAAAATCCAGTATTTCCCAAAATCTGGAAGCCCAGTATAGTCAGTGTAAGTATTATATAGCCATTATTTTCCTATTTAAAAAGACATAAACAGGCAAAACAATTTAAAACGATTCCCGTTTCCTCTGAACACCTTCCTGGTGATTGTGCCAAACAAAAAGAGTGCACATCAACAGCTACTAGTGCCTTGAACCCTGAACAATGGGGATGTTAGCAGGACATTTTAGCAGCATTGTGGAAACAGAATAGGGGTTTCACTGGGGAGTGGGCAAATACCCTGGGCAACACTGACAGGCAGATTGGAGTAGCAGATAGCCTGTGGTGGATGGGAACTGTGCCAACAGAATGAGAGCAACACAGTTGAGTGAATGAGCTGTCTTGGAGTAGCAGTTGGAAGAATGAAAGAGGCAGTAGAAGGACAGCAGACTGAAGCATGGCATACTAAGTACTATGAGCAGAGTGTGCCATTCTCTCTTACTTAAAGGAGACTTCAGGGAAGCCCAGCAATGGTAGTTTGACCTTAAGGAAAATAATTTTGTCTCCAAATCCAGGTTCCTGGTGTGAGTGGTGTGATGTCTCTTGCATAATATACCACTCTTTCAGTGGGCACACCAGTTGGTAAGAAAGACACCAGTCTCATTGCTACCTTAGCCAGATCTCCTGTTGCTATACCAGTTGCCTGACACACCAGTATAAATCAGGCCCCACCCTGTGGCTAAGGGTCATTCAAGATGGTTGTTGGTAATATGGTTACAGTTCTATCACAAACCTGCAGAAACCAGTGCTCTCCACTAGAGACAATTGCTGCTCATCCAAGGCTATCATCTTCCCCTAGGCAATGCGTAATCCTGGTATTTTTTATCTGTGCAGTAGGCCTTTTCTTCTACCACTCCAAGTTCCTGCAGGTGGCCTGGAACTTATTCTTGAGATGTGGATCTGGGTGTTTGCCACCTCCCACCTTTTGCTATTTGCCCATCTACCTCCCTACTTCCCTGGACTGTTGGCTGCCCTCTGATGACTCTTCACAATAAGGAAGCCACTTGCTCTTCATTTGCCCACAGCAATGCCTTGTGCTGATCTTCAGCTGGCTGAACATCCTATTATTGGAGAGATGGTCCAGGTCCTGCCCAGATTTGAGCACCTTCTAGGAGTGCATGCACTCAGCCATGTGAGCATCTGTTGCACACTGTTCAAAAGGCTTCCAGATTATTGACTTCTTGGGAGCTCCAGTTTTTGACCTGCATGTTCCTAAAGCGATTGCTAATTTGTTCTGGCAGCTGGTGGGGCAAGTGCAGTTGGTGGGGCAGGGGTGTTTTCAGTATCACATGTTTCTGAACTGGTACCCAACTGAGTCCCCTCAATCTTATCATACCCTATGTCGGATATATATGTACTTGAAGGGGATTTCCCACCAACCACAAGGCTAGTTTGCACAGGAGACTTGTTGGGAATGGGGGCTGAGGTAAATCCTTCCCTGAAAGTGTTGGAATTGCATGGTATGCATATGAAAGGCAATATCTGGTTGCCCTTCATAAATATCTTTACTAACCACAAAAGCAGCAGCACTGCTGCTGCCCAAGCTGACAGTGTCAGTCTGAGTGCTGAGGGCGCATACGCACACATACACATACACACACACACAGAGAGAGAGAGAGAGAGAGAGAGAGAGAGCTTGCCTGCTCCTCTTGCATAGTGTCAGTGCTGAGCAAGGCAGCCGGGATTTTGTCGGTTGGCTTCATAATAGCAGTTTCATTCTTCCCTCCCAGTTAGCTCAGTGGTTGAGGTATTTGGCTGTGGAACCAGAGGTTGGGAGTTCAGTTTCCCATTGAACCTCCTTGACAGTTCTAAGATGATGATGATAAAAATATCTTCTGGTGTCTGTGCTGGCTTCTAGATTTCATTGGTGCAGACAGACATCATTTACAGGTTTTGCTATAACCACAGCCCCCGTCCCTTGAGAAACCCATGGCAACCCCAATAAGGGGACACTGAGTTCTAGTTCTCTGTCTCCACTATCCTCGCTGCTAGAGTGTTTTATGTATCTCAAGGAATCACTCCAGTTTGCTGACTAACAGGATTTTGGCCATTGTGTTATTATGTTTCATACAAATAATACAAATAATAATAACAATACAAATAATAATAATACAAATAATAATACAAATAATAATACAAATAATACAAATAATACAAATAATACTAATACAAATAATACTAATACTAATACTACTACTACTACTACTACTACTACTACTACTACTACTACTACTACTACTACTACTACTACTACTACTACTACTACTACTACTAATAATAATAATAATAATAATAATAATAATAATAATAATATATGTGTCTCTAATTTGTAAATATATTAATTGGGCCAACCAGGTATTCTAGATCACTGGTTCTTAACCTTGGGTTACTCAGGAGTTTTGGACTGCAACTCCCAGAAGCCTTCGCCACCAACTGTGCTGGCTGGGGTTTCTGGGACTTGCAGTTCAAAAACATCCAAGTAACAAAGGTTAAGAATCACTGTTCTAGATGGATGCTGCTAGGAATTCATATACCAGAACACTTGTTCTCGCTTTGCAGAGAGGTAGCCTTGTTTTCAATAAAGAAACAAAACAAAAGTATTGCAGCATCTTCAAGGCTAACCTATTTATCACATCATGTGTCGAAATAGTGAATAGTTATCCATGAAAGGATAAATCTGCTAGTCTCAAAGGTGTCACAGCATTTCTAGTTTTCTTTTAGTCTTGGTGTTTGGATGTTTCATAAGTTTTGTGGAGCTTCTTGGAATAAAATGAGACATGGTGCAAGCCATCTTTCATTTGAATGTGAAGAAGCAAAAGAAATGAGTCATTTAGAAGTAAGATTTTAATCTTTAAAGTTATCTGATGCTGACAACTTGTATGATAGCTGTTGAATTGTATGTGAAGAAAATTAGACATATGGTGAAATATAAAGTGTATTCTCTTTCTAGTCATAGAGTATTGAGACACACTGCAGTTATTTGCACCAGCCGATCGCTGACTGTGCGAGCCACTGTATTTCGAAGCAATGCTCTTGCAGATGAAAAAGGTGAAGGTGACAATATGCTAGTGTTTGTGGATGTGGAAAATATCAATACTGTAAGTCTGCTCAGACTTGGGGTTAATGGTTGTATTTTTAAACTGAAACACTCTGTCTTTAAAACAAATATCTGTTTTTCTGTTCTAATGTTGGGAATTAACTTCTTAAAACTTCAGTCTGTAGTTTTGTAGAGGGCTTTCTAGTAATTTTTAATTAAAATTTCATTGCTTTCAATGCCAGAACATAATGTAATTCTAACAGCCTTGTCTGGTGTACACTTTTCTTTGTACAGCACTGATGTATTTTTAAATAACATTTAATGTGGTTTTTATTGCTACCATAAGATACAATATCTAGAGCAGTAGACTGTCACTTTTCTAGCATTCAGCTTCACTATGTATATAGTAAAAGAATTCATCAATGTTTACTGAGCACAACACTCATCAACATTTAGAACCACCATCTTCTCCCAGTGGTTGTATCTGGAGACAAACTGGAATGACCTAATCTCTCTTTAAACTGATATACAGTGGTGCCTCGCACAACGGGTGCCTCACACAACGATGAATTCACACAACGATGTCTTTTTCTGTTAAATTTGCCGCCTCACACAGTGATGTTTCCTATGGGGGATTTTCACACAACGATGTCTCTTTTTCGTTCCTGTAAAAGTGTCTTACAATGCTTGGAAGCCGTTTTAAATGCTTGCACTGGTTAGCCCACTTCCTGAACCCTATGAAAACTGATTTTGGTGTTGTTCTGACACTTCGTTAATTTATGGTAATTTCTTGTTTTCTCCATTGAAAACCATTGAATGGTCTGTCTAATGGTTTCCAATGGAGAAAACAAAAAATCATCAGGAATTTTTTGTTTTCTCCATTGAAAACTATTGAATGGTCTGTCTAATGGTTTCCAATGGAGAAAACAAAAAATCATCAGGAAGAGCTTTAAAAGGCAAACGGAGATCAAAGAGCCCTTTCCCGATCTCCCTTTTCGCTCCTGTAAAAGTGTCTTACAATGTTTGGAAGCTGTTTTAAATGCTTGCAATGGTTAGCCCACCTCCTGAACCCTATACAAACCGATTTTGGTGTTGTTCTGACACTTCGTTAATTTATGATGATTTTTTGTTTTCTCCATTGGAAACCATTAGACAGACCATTCAATAGTTTGCAATGGAGAAAACAAAAAAATACCATAAATTACCGAAGTGTCAGAACAACACCAAAATCAGTTTGCATAGGTTTCAGGAGGTGGGCTAACCATTGCAAGCATTTAACACGGCTTACAAACATTGTAAGACACTTTTACAGGAGCGAAAAAGGACTTCGCAAAGCCATTGAAATTTATTGAGTCGGCTTCAATACATTCCAATGGAGGAAACATTGTTTCACACAGCGATGTTTCCTATGGGAATTTTCACTCAGCGATGGCAATCCGTTCCAATTGGAATGGATTAACCGGTTTTCAATGCATTCCTATGGGAAATGGTGTTTCACAGAACGATGTTTCACACAACGTTGATTTTTTAGGAACCAATTAACATCGTTGTGTGAGGCACCACTGTACTACAAGAGAAAATTGAGCAATCCATGCAAAAGATCATGCAGTTTTGATCCTCTGAGATTAGACTATCCAAAAACAGTATAAAGAGATTTTTAAAAGGTTACAGGAGATCTTTGCCATTGATTAAATGGAAGATCTTATAGGTCAGTTGTTTTTCTTCACCATGAAGTTAGCAGGAAAGGAGTGTATAAACTGAAAGCTAATTCCACACTTTTCTGAAAGAATAATCTTCATAGTGGGAGAGATGTGTGTGAAATAATGAATTGGAGCCAAAGAAACATAAGGTGAAGGGTGCAAGCGGAAGGTAACTTTCTTGCCCTTTGCACTCTCTTTTGCTTGGCAGCCCCTGAAATGCCTTTCTGAAATGCTTGGGAGGACGCGGCTAGATGAAATGGACTTTGCATAGGGAGCGAAAATAGGGTGAAGGGCACTTTCACTCCCCCATTCCCTGCGTCCAATAGAATATGATTGAACTGGGTTTTGTTACTTAAATCTTTGAAGGTATAAGCTTATTTTTCTTTTTAATGCATTTTTTAAAAAACAGATTAACTGTAAAAACATTTCAGATAACACAACAAGCCCTCCCAGCTTCATGTATAAGTTCCTGAGAGGTGTAATCTAGTGCCGTTAGGTATTCAGCATATGTAGTCTTGGTTGTACTAGGACCTATTGGCTATGCTTAAATCAATATACCTGTATTGTGAATTGTGCTGATCTAGCTCTTTCAAAAAGAGCTCTGAATAAAACTACTTAATGCCTTTTTAAAAAATCACCACATTGAATCTTCTGCATCCTAAGACTCACCAAATTTTTGACATTATTTTTTTTACCTTTGGGATCAATGACTTGAATCTCTTGTCTCTTTGTTGCTTGCTTATTAGAGTGAAGCCGGTGTAAAAGAATTTCACCTGGTGCAAGTGTCTAGTAACAGCAAAAACTGGAAACTACAGGAGTCCATACATCTCTCTGAAGACAAAGGTATTTGTGAACTTTATACCCGTATATAACAATTCAGATTTTATTTGTATAAATGCTTAAGTGATCTTAAGAATTACAGACTAAGTTCTACTCTCAAAGCAGGGTTTTTCTAGCATGTTTTCAGCTACAATATCCTTTACTACTGAAAAGCTGCAACGTTATGAAGTAGATATGAAGTAGTTTGTGTCAATATTATTCTATATAATATTGAATAAATCAGTGACTTTGTTTTAAGAATATAAGAACTAGCAACTACATTTTCAAAACTATCAACAAATATTCAGGAAAGTTGTTAGCATATCGCTGTCCAGCAATGAAATTTTGGTTGCAAAATCCTAATTTTGTCACAATTTGTTATAATTTTTGTCCCAATCACCATTCCTTTTCTTGTATATGTTGTAGTAGTATCTAGGTAAACAATGGGGTATGTTCAATAATATCATTGCATCAGAGATGCAGAAAAGTAGTAAATGTTAGTGGCATGATTATGTTTTTACATGTTGATTCACACACTGTTCATATGTAATATGTCTGTGTCATAAATGTTTTGACGATGCATCTGTCTCTGTTACAGTATAGGATTTTATCATTTTAGGGTAGTACAATATTCTATTATTCTGTATTCATATTTGGTTATTATTCTTAACAGATATTAAGCTAGCTAACAGAGAGAAAGGAAAGCTATGCTTCAAAGCAGTAAGGTGTAAACATTCAATAGGTATGTGCGGTTTCTTTAATACATTATTTCTACAGTCATTTTTTTCTGATTTTGGAGACTGACATCCCCCCCCCCCATTTTTTCATTCCATAGAAATGTATACATTTGCAGATATTGTTTTTGGAAATGAACAGGTACGTATGTAATACTTTTGTGTCTATATATTGAGCACACAAATCTTACTACTGAGTATGAGCTTGGTTGAAGAGAAACTCCTTAGCTAGATCTGTGTATGTATATGCACATGCAGACACATAGTGAGAATAAAGCTAAATATGTGGACAGCCACACATTTTTAAAAACTAGCTTTAAATGTAACTGACTTCATGTGCAAAGCTAAGAAATCCCAATGAACCAAGAAAATCTTTTAAGAATTTTGATAACTGCTTAGGAAGAATAGCAGTCTCTCTTCCATGGTGTGTATAATAGTTTTAGACAGATGCACAATATGGCCATGGTCAATGTCTCCACATCTGACTCTTCCATGGAGTTTGTTTCTGAGCGCCATTACAACTCTGAAATCTTCTCTATTCAGAAAGTTATCTGAACCTATAGTGCAAGAGTTTTTAAAAAGTGTAATTGGAAAGGGAGAGGACAGTAATTTTCCCTATAAATCATTCTTCTCTTGAACCTTCAGACTGTTTTTTGAACTTGAGTGATGTAAGAAAAATGTGGGGATTCTGTGGGAGCACTACTCAGGAGTAAGGATGGGCATGACTTAAGTCAACCCAAGGTAACAAAATTTGTCAGCGCAGCACCGCAGGTACCATTCATTCCCTCTTCCCACCCACCCCAGCCAGCTGCTCTACTTGCAAGCCTCTGCATACAGCCCAGGTCACCCTCCATCACCAGCTGCCCGGTCCGGGAAGGAGCTCAGACTTGCCTTTCCTGCCCTTTCCAGCAGCAGAACACTAAGAAGAGGAGGTGGGATGGGGAATTCTCTGCGCAGCCAATGAGTGGTCAGCTGCCAGAAGAAGCAGGGAAGGGAAGCCCGAGCTCTTGCCTAGACCAGGCAGCCAGTGATGGAAGATGATCCAGGTGGTGCATGGAGGCTTGTCAGTGGGGCAGCTGGGGGTGGGGTGGGGAGAGGGAACGTGTGGCATCTGTGGTGCCACATCAGTGAATTTACAGTATAGGATATTTATTTTTTGGACTTATATACCGCCCCATAGCACTACAAGCACTCTCCGGGCGGTTTACAATTTTAATTATACAGGCTACACATTGCCCCCCCAGCAAGCTGGGTACTCATTTTACCGACCTCGGAAGGATGGAAGGCTGAGTCAACCTTGAGCCGGCTACCTGGGATTTGAACCCCAGGTCGTGAGCGCAGTTTTAGCTGCAGTACAGCGTTTTAACCACTGCACCACGATTTAAGTCATCTCCATTTCTACTCAGGAGGCAAACTTGGTGTACATGGGTCTGGATTATGCTAGGGTTAATATTTTATTAGGCATTTTCAAAGCAATGTACTTTTTTAAAAAACAGATAATCAGTTCAACCAGTCCATGTGCGGATTTCTTTTTCCGAAGCTTATATTCTGACTTAAAAAGAACACGAACACAACAAAGTATGCAAGCTTCTCAAGGACCAGCGAAACAGTCTCTTGACAGTTCTGTTAGACTGATACAAAAATGTAACGAAGTGGATTTGAATGTAATTGTATTATGGAAGGTATGTATAACAGCATAACGTAAAACCACAGGCAGTTAAAATAATGCATCCTGAAAACCTATGCATGTAAAACTGCAGAGGTAAGTTCTTCAATATTTCTTGCTGACTGAAATCTTGTTGCTTTGTGTACTAAGTAACACTTAGATTAGCCCCATTGAATCAGTGGAATTTAGGGAGGAGTTGACTGCCCAAATCCTCACTGATTCAATAAATTTACTCCAATTGTGACTTACTACATCAAAAAAGATTCAGCCATTATCAGTTCATTACATAGTACCACAGACTGTGGAGAATGAAATAGTTTTAACATGGCTCCCAAAGGATAAAATTGTCAGCCCTAGTTAGTGTATGTTCCATACTTAGTTCACTGACAAAGGGAAGACTATTCCCAATAATGGCCCATCTTCTGAAAACAGAGGACCTGGAGAAAAATTTCTGCTGGTCTTACTAGCTAGGCAGATTTGTATGGGAGAAGGTAGTCCCTTTCACATCTTTGTTCTCATTTGTTTTAAACCAGTGCTTTGTTGGGTAGAAAGCAGTGCCTTGAAAGGCACCCAGAAATGAACTTGCAACCAGTGAAGACCTTCAAGTATTTGATGTAACACATATTGGTTAGTACTGTATAACCTAGCAGCAGTATTTTAAATCACGATTTCCCAACATGTTTCCAATGAAGACTTACTTACATATAACATAGTGATTAAGTCTCAATGTTACCAATGAATGAACAACTAAGTTCCAGGAAGAAATTTGTCATATTCCATGTTTATCCAAAAATAAAGAATATTTTTAATCTAGAGTGGTACCCATGTTGGTCTTTCTCAGCATGCTGGGAAAATTAAAGGGGAAAAAAGCAGGGTGGGAAGGAAGAGAAATAAAAGCAAAATAATGTGACATTTAAAATGTTAACTGATTTATAAAATATCAGACAAAAACAAATAAAAATTAAAAAAACACATTGTTGCACTTTAGAAACATCAACGTTTCAGTGCAAACTTTTGTTGATCAAGTCTTCCTCAGACCCTGGCACTGAGACTTGGTTCACTGTGGGATTATATTTACCACAAAAAATCAGAGGCCGTGGATTACTGCAAATACAGGAGGTAGCAGAGGAAGAAAAAAGAAGCCTAAAAGATTGTATCAGTACAAGCAGAGAAAAATTACTGAAAGCAGTGAAAATGGAGACTATTTTGAAAACAACAATTTGAAAGGAAATTATACAGCTGGAAAAATAAACCACTGCATGGACAACACCTGAGAAATATCGATGGAAAGCATGATCATAATTAAACATGGGCATGGCTAAAACTGGGGGCCCTTAAGAAAGAAACTGAAGGCTTGATTTTTGCTGCACTAGAACAAGCGCTCCAAACCAACGTGATCAAAGCTAAGATCCAAGGAGCTAGTGCTAACAGCAAGTGTCGACTCTCCCAAGAAAAAGATGAAACTGTGTCACACCTCATCTGTGAATGTCCAAAGATTGTGCAAGCAGATTGCAGAGTTAGACATGATAGAGTGGCAAAGCTACTGCATTGGTCATTATGCAAAAAATATAACTTGCTGGACTCCAAAAACCTGTGGAAACATCAGGGAGAGAAGGTGTCAGAAAATGAGGAAGTCAAGCTCTTGTGGGATTTCCAGATCTAAATGGAAAGACACATTGAACATAACATGCCAGACGTAGTAGTAACTGAATGAAGAAATGTCTGGATCATTGACATTGCAATTCCAGGGGATGCCAGAGTTGAAAATGAATAACTGGAAAAACTAACAAAGTACAGTGGTGCCTCACAAGACAATTTTAATTCGTTCAGCAAAAAATGTCGTCTTCCGAAAACGTCGTCTTGCAAAATGTGTTTCCCCATAGGAATGTATTGAAATCCAATTAATGTGTTCCTATGGGCAAAAAATGTCAGAACAAAGTCAAATTTGGTTTACAAAGGGTTTATTAAGTGCTCTTTAATGTCATAAATACTGTGCAGGTGATTTCAAAAATTTCAATCAATAAACTTTAACTTTATAAATATCACAGAAAAGCCTTTAAAAATCAACGAACATGAGGCAGGAACATCTGCCTTCATTGAAACTGAACAGAAACAGTCACTAACAATCATTGAATTGTGCCAAACAGGATGTGTGTGACACAAACCCTAGTGTTGGATCACCACAACACACCCAGCTGGCCTTTGTTGACCTTGTGCTTCTCGAAAGCCCATGGGTTCTCCAAGTGGTACACCAGCAAGGGCTTTATCTTCAGGTCCCCACCGGTGTTGGCACAGGAGAGGCGGGTCAGACGGTCCTTCATGGGCTTGTGGCCAGGCAGCTTGCTCTCCTCTTGAGTGAGGAAGGTCCTTTTGGGCATCCTCTTCCAAAACAGCTCGGTCTCGTCACAGTTGAAGACCTGCTGTGGAAGGTAGCCCTGTGTTGTCACGACCTCCAGGAACTCCATAGCAAAGTCCTCAGCCACAGGAACATCGGAACTGGCAGCCTCTCCATGCCTGACCACGCTGTGGATTCCAGATCTGGTTTTGAAGTATTCAAACCAGCCTCTGCTTGCTTTGAAGTCTTCTGGCTCGGCTGAGGTTCCTGGTTCTTGCTCCACATGGTCAGCGTACAAGGCTTTGGTCTTCTCACAAATGACAGCCTCAGTCACTGTGTCCCCTGCACACTGCTTCTATTCCATCCAGATGAGCAGCAACTTCTCCACCTCCTCCAGAACAGCTAGCCAGTTCTTCATGATCCTGGTGACTCCCTTGGCTATATCTGTGGCAAGGATTTTCTCCCTCACCTTAAGGATGGTACCGATGGTGGATGGATTCATCCGGTACTCCCTGGCGAGGTCTATCACTCGCATGCCTCCGTCGTGCTTCCTGATGATCTCCTTCTTCATCTCTAGAGTACTCTTCTCCTTTATCATCGTCCAGGCCTCTGCAGAAGCAGCCTTCTTCGGACCCATGTCAGCACAGCTGCTATGTTCACAAAAACAAAAGGCAGTGCTTTACATCTGCTTCACCTTCCCACCACTGGCCAAAACTGTCCTGGACAAACAAGTGGCATAACACCCCCCCAGCACAAGCTAAGGAAAAAAAATCAAACTTGGCATAAACCCTCCCCCAACACAGGAGAACAAATGCATACCTATCTTTTGCTGGCCAAAAAGTTCTGAAAAACTTTAACTTCACCAAGGACCACACCAACTTCTCCAAAGACAGGATGCCCTAACAAAAAAATAAAATAAAATAAAATAAATAAAATTTAAAAAAATCAAACTTGGCATAACAGCTCCCAGCACAAGCTAAGAAAAAAAACTTGGCATAACATCCCCCCAGCACAAGCTAACCCCCTAACATTCCTGTGCAACTTACAAAAAATAAAATAAAATAAAACTTGGCATCAACCCTCCCCCAGCACAAGCTACGCCCACCACCTTTCCTCTGCAACTTAACAAAAAATAAAAATCAAATTTGGCATAAAACCCCACCACCAACACAGGAGAACAAATGCACACCTACCTTTTGCTGGCCAAAAAGTTCTGGAAAGCTTCAATTTCTTCAAAGACCACACCAACTTCTCCAAAGACAGGATGCCTCCACAACACAGACCACACCAAACACAGGATGCCCCACAACACAGACCACAGTTGTTCTTCACGAAGTCAACCTTGGAGCTGCACGTGGAAAAGTGAACCCAGGCTGCATTGGGGAGGCTTTTTAAATCTTCCCAGCACAATGCACAATGCATCCTTGGTATTAATGGTTGACATTTGAACCAAAACAACAACAACAATAAAACCCTGAAGACATTCGTCTTGCAAAAAAGCATCTGTTAAAAAATGGTCTTGCGAGTCATGGACCCAACTGTCCAAAAAATCATCTTGTGAAAATCGTCCCTAAAAAGAATCGTCTTGCGAGTCATGGACCCAAACATCGTCTTGCGAAAATCGTCCATAGGAAAAACCATCTTGCGAAGCGCCACAGCGATCACAAAAACCAGTCGTCTTGCGGGTTTATTGTCCCATGAGGCAGTTGTCTTGTGAGGCACCACTGTACAGAGACCTAGTAATTGAAACATCTCACCTCTGGAAGAAACACACTTCAGTGGTCCCTGTCATTGGGACTTTGGGAACAATATCAAGAAGTTTTACGCAGTACTATAAGCAGCTGCAGATCTCAGAAATCACACCATCAGATCTACAAAAAAGGCAATATTAGGAACTGCATACATACTGTGCCGATATTTAACAGATATTTAGGTTTTTGGTTAAATCTTGTATCTGTTATATAATACCAGTCAATGTCTTAATAATTTTGACTATGCCTGGTGTTTTTGAATCATCATCATAGAGCTGTATAGCTGAAAGGGATCCTGTGGATAATTGAGTCCTGCTCGGAAGCACAGTGGGAATCAAACTCCCAGCCTCTGGCTCTGCAGCCAGTTACCTAAACCAGTGAGCTCCCTAGCTGCTACCAACACGATGAACTATATTGATTAACTTTATCTAGATACATAGCTGCCATATACTAAGTCAGGGCATTTGTCCACCTTGCTTAGTTTTGTGAAGTGCAGCTGGCAGCATCTCTGCAGGATTTTTCCTCAGCCTTTCCTGAATCTTTTTAGTCTCCTGTCCTTGGATTAACCAGCCCAAATCCAATTTATCTTCTAAAATCAACAAGTTCTGTTCTTATCTGAATTGGTTGTTATGGGTTTCTTGGGCTCTTTTTCCGTGTTCTGAAGGTTATTTTCTAACATTTCGCCAGTCTCTGTGGCTGGCATCTTCAGAGAACAGCACTCTGAATTGTTTTCATTTTATTAGTCCATGTTAGGCTGATTACTGATTTATTTATAGAGCAACACCTATACAGTATTAGATCCAAGGGAGAAATCAGCAAAACTTGGATTAATTGCAGATATTTACAATATTCAAGCCCTATGTAGCCTTACTTTAGTAAGCTGCAATTAGAATGGGACCATTTGAATCAGTGGAGCTTATAGAGGAGTTGACTTCATTAAATCCCCATTGTTTTAGTGTCATTTACCCTGCTAAGCAACAGGATTTTGGCCGGAGTCTTGGGGTGACAGTACTATACCCACACCATTTGATAATATCTTCTACTGTAAGACTGTGAAAAGGCATTATTTTAATCATACTTTTGTAAATTCTTAGCCATGAGTTAATGTAACAAGGGAGACTTACTGCAACTTTACACTTTGCTACTCATAAAATTGTGCGATATAATATGGTCTATTTCACCTCCAGGCATATGTTGTAGAAGATAACAAGCAACTCATTTTGGAAGGCCAGCATCATGTTGTGCTTACTGCAGTAGGGAAGGAGGCTGTTTCTTCTCCTCAAAAACAGGTATTACAGATGTGTTCACAAAAGGTTTGCTTTTCAGATTCCATAAAGCTATCTTGGTATAAACAGCATTAAATGTTTAAAAATAACTATTTCTCAGTTGTATTTTATCGTGATGAATTACAGTGCCATAAAACTGGAATATATACCTTGCTTTTATTAGTTATTTATGTATATAAACATAAACATGTGTATTAACATATATACATAAAAAGGTTAAGGTAGGTCTATAAGCTGAAAATTGAAAATATGTTATAACCTCAAGAAAAGTCAGTCTGTCATAGATTCTAGGAATAGACGTGTTGAACAATTATTTTGAACACAGTGTTCATGATGTAAAAAAAAAGGGCAGGGGGAAGATTCCAAACACTCATTCAGATCAAGTTCCAAATATTTTTCTTTATCAAATATTTCTATCCTGCATTTCCCTCTTACATACTTGTAGGAAGGCTAAAAATAAACATCTAAATCACAGTAGAGGAAAACAGTATAAATATATGTACAGTTTTTGTCTTTAAAAACAAACAAGGTAACACAGTGGGGGGGGAAGTTTATTCATTATATGATTCATATCCTACCTATCTCCCAGCACTGGTACTTAAGAAGATGAACACTTTCAGAAGATTCTCATAGGGTCATGCTGTAACTTAGTGATAACAGCAAGAAGCATCAGTCTCTTAACAGTACCGGTACTCAGAGACAATCTCTGTCACTCCATACAAGGAAGGAAATGTTTTACAGTTCTTATGGTGAATTGGGAGTTTGCATAGGAGAATAAAGATAGCCTGCTCAGGATATAAGTTTCCTGTGCATCTGTATTTGTCTCTTTGGTCTAATGAAGATGTAATGTTGACTTCCTTCTAACTACAGTGGTGCCTCGCTTGACAAGGATAATCCGTTCCAGCAAAATTGCTGTAGAATGAAATTGTCAAGCGAAAGTAAAAAACTCACTAAAATGGGTTGAAAACCGGTTCAATACCTTCCAATGGGCGAAATACCTCGCTGTAGCGATCACAAAATACTCATCATTAAGTGATTTCCTCGTCTAATGAGGTAGTCAAGTGGGGCACCAGTGTACAGGTAATAAATTATTGGTCAGTCTTGGGGAAAAGTACACTTTTCTGGAGTAGTCTCCACCACCACCCCAAAAAAAGCAAGAGGGAGGTAGGAAATTGGCACTCTGATTAAGGCTAGCCAAAATTTCCTTTAATACATGATCTGTAACTGACTTTAACCATTTGATGGTGTTAGACTGTGTTCTGCATACTGTGTCTTAATTTAATCCCTTTCTGGTTTTTTTAAGGGTTTTAAAAAAGTACTTGGGAATTCTGATTGGGAAGACTTGGAACAGGTATTGTTATCCTGGAGAAAGATAAATTTGTATCATAGTGAATCCTGTCCTATTTTCTGTTTAAATAGTATGGGTCTGGAAAACTTTTTCAAATACTTAATTAAATACTGATAGACCATTACACAACATGAGTGTGACCTGTACTGTATGAATTTTGCTGGAATGAATAATTTGCTTCTATTAAATGAAGCATGTATCTTTGGCCTAGTTTTCAAAATGATCACAATTTTGTGTGTGGTCTGAAGAACCCCATATGACAGATAAGGACTTGACTGACATAATAGTCCCTTCACAGAGAAAACAAGCATGTCAGGCAAATGGCAAAGAATCTAAGATAATTCTGTAGTATCTTAAACGCTAAAGGCAGATTCATATTGCCTTACATGGTTGCATAAGGGCAGTAGCATAATCAGTGTTATGATTTCTGTGGCTGTCCCCATCTTCTGTGTCTCTTGAGCCTTGTGGCTTCCATGACTTCTATCACCTATCATTTGCAGATTGATGGACTATGCAAGTAAACTCTTCATGTGACATTCTTACCATACTAAATGGATGTTTTTTACTTTTGCGACACGACAACATTTTGATCCCTATGGTCCTAATGTTCTCAATGTTCTGGAGGTTTTTTTTGTTACTCTTGGCAGATAACGGTTTAAGTTTTTAATCAGTCAAGGTATGTATTCGTGAAGGATTTCACGGCCGAGATCTAATGGTTGTTGTGGGTTTTTCGGGCTCTTAGGCTGTGTTCTGAAGATGCTGGCCACAGAGACTGACGAAATGCTAGGAAGAACAACCTTCAGAACACGGCCTAAGAGCCCAAAAAACCCACAACAACCAGTCAAGGTATATTTGGCACCTGTCTCGGCCTCTCTGCTTTGAACAGCATCTAGTCTTCACAGTTCCTGAAGTCAAGAAGTTAGTGTCCCCATTACTGTCCTAGAGTTCATCTATTGTTCTCTTCCAACTAGTAAGACATCTTTTTGAACCTACTGTCAAAGTGCCTTTGGAACAAGTGTCTTTGAAAGTTTCCTTTTTGATTGTGGTCACCACAGTTCTTTGTATGTATACATTTTGTATTGACTCACCTTAACTGGTCTATTGACCAAGACAACACCTTTTTGCCAAAAGTATTTTCTGCTTTTCACATTTCTTAGGCTATTGTATTGCACACCCTATCTTTACTTTAGTAAATAATTTAAAGTGAACTCTCCATTTGGTTGATGATAGACAAACTCTGGCTTTTCATATTGATGGGCCCTCTTCATTTCACAAGACTACAAGACTTTTGTGTTTTGTCATTTTGGAATTTTAAAAGCGCTGGAGTTACTGCCAAAAATCTCTAGCTGTAAAAAGTTCCAGAACTTGGCTCTGAGCAGGTGCAGCCCCATATACGAGAAATCCATTAATTATATTAATACTTACTTGTCTTAAGTGATATAACTAAAAGCAAATTTATCATATAGACTGATCTTAGAAATTTCTTGTGCATGGTTCATAGAAATAGCCACTTAACATATTTTCTGTCATATAGGTATCTGGGTAATACCTGTTTCTTTCGCTTTGCAATCCTGGCTGCTTCTCAGTTTTAACTGACATTGCCTGAACACTTTTATATTACAGGAGGCACCCGAGATAGGTCTCCTAAATTTTTTTCGACCAGAAAGCACATCAGTACCTGTCCGGCCATCTCCAGATCAATTTTCCAACCTGATTAAAACTAGTCTTCATTATCCAGAAACTTTTAACCACTCATTCCATCAGAAAAGGTTTGAATATTTCTTGGTTTTAATTTTAAAGATATTTATATATGTTGAAAGTAACAATGTAATAACTACAGTGTAACCCAACACGACAAAGAATGAAAAGAAATACCTTTTTTATATTTATCTATAATCCACCCAGGGACATGGTGGCGCTGCGGGCTAAACCGCAGAAGCCTATGCTGCAGGGTCAGAAGACCAAGCAGTCGTAAGATCGAATCCACGCGACAGAGTGAGCTCCCGTTGCTTTGTCCCAGCTCCCGCCAACCTAGTGGTTCGAAAGTATGCAAATGCAAGTAGATAAATAGGGACCACCACGGTGGGAAGGTAACAGTGTTCCGTGTCTAAGTCGCACTGGCCATGTGACCACGGAAGATTGTCTTTGGACAAAATGCTGGCTCTATGGCTTGGAAACGGGGATGAGCACCGCCCCCTAGAGTCGAACCCAACTGGACAAAAATTGTCAAGGGGAACCTTTACCTTTACTATAATCCACCCAGACTATTTAAATAATAATAATTTTGTGCAGTCAAGTCAATGGTGACCTTTTTCAGGGTATTTTAGGTAGAGAGTGCTCAGAAGTGCTTTCCCATTCCTTTCTTCTGGCGGCACTCTGGGACTTTGCTAATTGCCCAAGGCCACACAGTCTGACTGTTGTTGGATGCACAGTGAGGAATTGAACTTCTGTCCTCTACAGCTAGATACCTAAATCACTGAATCCTTCTAAAATGACACAGCATTAGTCAAGAGCATTCACCATAACATTTGTTTTCTGAAATCCAGTGGTGCCTCGCTTAACGAGCGCACCGTTTAACGACGAATCCGCATAGCGATCTATTTTTTCAGATCGCTAATGCGATCGCACTGCGATGTTTTCAATGGCAAAACATCACATTGCGATGATCGGTAAGCGTTTCGCTTACCGATCTTCCCATTGCGATGTTTTTTTAAACAGCTGATCGGCGGTTCCAAAATGGCCGCCAGACACCCAAAATGGCCGCTGCAACCATTTTCGCACCCTGCCCTTGCTTACCGAGGGCGTGAAAATGGGGGCGCTATGGAGGAACTTCGCTGAACGGTGAGTTTGGGGCCCCATAGGAACACATTAAATGAAGTTTAATGCGTTCCTATGGGATTTTTTGATCCATTTAGCAATGTTTTTGCATAGCGACGATTAATCCGGAATGGATTAACATCGCTATGCGGGGCACCACTGTATTTAGTTAAATGCAGGAGTTAAAAAGTACACAATAAGTTGTCATAAATAAAATTAAATTATTCTCAAGATTTCTGTAAACAGTATTTAATCATCAGTATTAATTTTCACCTTTGATTCTGGCAAAGGGGGGACTGTCTGCTCCATAGTTGTGTCTTAGTTAACCATCTGCATCCAACCTTGTTAGCAGAGGCTCTATCACTCCCCAAAGAGGAATGCTCCATTTTATTGCCCAGAACCATGAATGAGACAAAAATAATATATCAATAACATAGACCAACATTTTGCTGCACTGTTCAGATAATGAATGTATAGATAGCTCCTGCTGTAATCCAGAGTGGTTGATTGTGAACAAATGCAGTTAAATCCACTTAGATGGTGAACTTCTTGGCTGCTGTCATGAATGGGCATGCATATGCAGTTTTCTGGTGGAAAGAAAAAGTTGTCCTGAAAGGAGAAAAATTTGCTGAAGTAACAAAACACCACACCTAATCTGGCTGCTCTTTAAATTAAAAAGAGAATGCTTTGCAGAAAAAGGCACTGGGTATTGGTATCCCACAATGTATTGTTATCTTAGACAGGATCTGCAAGTTGGTCCCTCAGAAAGTCAGAAACACATGCTTTGGATTTATCCTCCCTTTACATTTTGAAATTACAGTACATTAAGATTCTTCTGAGAGTTGATTCATTGTTCCTTATTCTGTAGATTTTCTTGCTTCCTATTAGGGGTGTGCCATTAGGGCTTTTTGGACACTTTTAATGTGTATCTGTGGGTTGGAACTCAAAGAATTCTGCCTAGAGAATTCTTGGAGAATACTTGAAATTGGGAGTCTAACCCCTGACCTCCACTCTGAATGGCACATCCCTGCCACTGTCATTATGTTAATTATCAGAAGCACTCCTTTAACATTGTTCTCCCCCTCCCCCAGCTATAGTATATTGTAAAATTAATTGAAGAAGGACACAGAATAAGGTGCAGATAACTCTTTGAGTCAGCACGTACCCTGGTCTGGATCTAAACTTGCACTCGGTGGAGTTATGTTGGTGCTAGAATAATGATGTTGGGCAACAATTCTTTTTCCTTGTTTCCACTGCTGTCCCATGCCTCCTGAAAAGTTGCTACAGGGGGAGTTGTAGCACCCTTCAGAACAGCATGGGAAGTGGTGTTGGGAACTGCTAGAAGGGGGGATTGGAGAATATTGCCGACCCACTACTTTTCCCCATTGAGAAATCTCCACTTGATTAGAAACCCAGGAATCTATAGAAGGGGATATCTGAATTCAATTTGTAATCTTGTTCATTGTACATTTGTAAGTTGTTGTATAGGTTAGAATTCCAGTTAAAATTCAAGTACATAGATTCATACACAGATCATTTTCCTCCTTGTATAATGGACTCAAGGCAGTATACAGCCTTTAAAAACATGCATATAAAATATCAAAAATAACTTATTTATAAATAAATTATTAGGCGAGCAATAGTTAAATCTATAAAAATGTTAATACAGTGGTGCCCGCATAGCGATGTTAATCCGTTCCAGGATTAACGTCGCTATTCGGATTCATTGCTATGCGGGTGGAAAACCCCATAGTAACGCATTAAAACGGATTTAATGCGTTCCTATTGGGCCGAAAACTCACCGCTATGCGGGGAATCCTCGATCTGGCCGCCATTTTCACTGCCCGGTAAGCGAGGGCAGGGTGCCAAAATTCTGCAGGCGGCCATTTTGGAACCGCCAATCAGCTGTTTAAAAAACATCGCAATGTGATAATCGGTAAGCGAAACACTTAACCGATCATCGCAATGCGATGTTTTCCCTATTAATCACTAATGCGATTGCAAAAAACGCGTCACTGCATCGCAATGCGATGTTTTCCCTATTAATCGCTAATGCGATTGCAAAAAACGCGTCACTATGCGGATTCATTGTTAAACGGTGCACTTGTTAAGCGAGGCACCACTGTATAAATATTAAAATACAATGATAACCAGCTACTATACCTGAAAGACACATAAATGTTTTCTACAGAAGTATGTTTCTCTTTTCCATTTGGCATCATTAATAAACACACACTCTTGGGTAACAGCAGTTGCTTCATTTGCATAAAAGGTGAATATTGTAGTCTGTAGTTGATCCAGTGCTGGAAGAATCAGGACAACATGCTAATGATACTCTCCCTTTGCAGCCTCTGTATAGTTCCAGTTACTCTTCTACTTTCAAATTGTTCTCAGGCTGATGTTGATGTGATCATTGATCTGCGACATAAAATAACAAGGTAATTTTCTAAATCTGAAAATTTTATTTTAATTATGCAATTAAAAATTAGGTTTTGACCTCTGGCCATCAGTATTTTTATCATATAAAGCATAAATATTCCTTTTGAATTTAAAGGTATAGTAAATGCATCTTGACCTCTGGCCATCAGTATTTTTATCATGTAAAGCATAAATATTCCTTCTGAATTTAAAGGTATAGTAAATGCATCCATAAACTATTTACTTTGCAATAAAGGTTTATTATTATTATTATTAAATGCATCCATAAACTATTTACTTTTGGGTAAGATTAATTGAAGTTAGCGAAAAAGCTTCAGACAAAATAAAACATTATGTACACTGAAAAAGTTTCAGTTTAAAACATACATATTTAACTTAACAATGAAAGTTACTAAAACATTTTAAAATTTAAGCATGATTTAATATAACAGCTGCCACCAGTAGAGTGCTTCTGCTGATGGATGCTTTCCTTGCTGCCCCCATGTGTCCTAAAACTGGTTCTGGAGGGTTGGGAAATCATTTGGAGCTGAGTTTTGGCAGTGTGAAGAGTTTTGCAGAGGCAAAGAGAAGAAAGTTCTCTTAGTCTTTTCAGTCATACTGGCAGTCAGGAGCTGGGACAATATACTGTAGAGTTGGGCCAGTAGTCTTCTATAGTCATTTATGTGCCAAATGTCTTACAAACTGGCAGCTACGGAAGTTGTGTAGCACAATGAGTGTATCTACCCAAATTAAATTTGTTCCTATGTGACTGGAATGCAGATGCACGTGAATATTCTCCATACATTTTTTACATATACTGTATAGTAAAGTGGCTAGAATGCTATCCATGATTCCAATCAGATATTGGGACTGTGCCATTTGTTTTGGTTTGGTTTCCAAACCCTAGAATTCTGCAGGAATTTCCCAAGCAGGATTCTGGGAGTTCCAGCCACAGACTCATACCTATAGCCACACACATTTTCCGTACCTGGGTCAGGGTCTATCACTAAGGCTGCATGGCGTAACTCAGGCCTTTCTTCCTGTTGTGAATGTACAAAAAAAAGGAAACTGTCACAGTGCTAATTGGAGTAGTAATTCTTCAGGAGGTGTCTTTATAGAACTTAAAGGACAATGAAATTACCACTCACAGGAAGCACCCTGACAACTTCCTTCTTTACAGTAATATTAACTGAATTATATAAGCAAACATGTAGTGTGAAATTTCTTGCAATGCAAATAAATGTAGGAACAGAATGCTAGTGTAAATGTAATTGGCTTTGTTTTACCTCATTATGCTTGCATAAAATTATTTAGCAGCTTCTCTTTGCCTGTGTTTTGGGTTTATACTTATTTTCAGACCAAAGAAGGAAAAATGTGACATACTTGCTTTCTCTTTTCCAGTCCAGAAACACTTGACATCCATGGTTCATTTACTTGGCTTGGGCAAACACAATACAAACTTCAACTGAAAAGCCAGGAAGTGTCTAGTGTTCAGTTAAAGGCCTGTTTCGTTCACACAGGAGTTTATAATCTTGGAACCCCACGAATATTCGCCAAGCTTTCAGACCAGGTTACTTTGTTTGAAACAAGTCAACAAAATTCAATGCCAGCACTGATAATCATCAACAGTATTTGAGTGTCTGGGAGATTCTTTTAAAAATGAAGCAGCGCAGATCTGTTGTTTACTGCATTTCTTTGAATCCACAATTGTGGCATATGAGCTGTTAAATAGATGTAGATAAAATGTGAACATATTATGATTACCTGTCTACTTCTGTTTCATAATGCCAGGCATATTGGACTGAAATTTCACTTTTTAAATAAGTATCTCGTTAAGTTAACTGGAAATACCCATGTAAATTTAAGATTCCTAAACCAGATTGGAAAATCCTTATATGTTTAGACCTGTCAAAAATTGCAGCTCTGCTGCTATTGGAGACTGACAGCATGAGTTAATATTTGTGGCTGTATTAGCAGGCAGTTTAGGACAAAGACCCTTGTTGGCCTTTTTTCTTTTTTTGATCAAGCCATCTGTTCCTGTAAAGTCCGATAAGATATTAAATACAAGCCTCACTTTTTCATTTTCACTTTTTAAAAAGTGAAATAAAGACTTTTCTCATGTACTGATTTCCAGTCCTCCATGGAAATTGCATATAATTACATTTAATATTAAACATTTGAAACCTGTTTTAAGTATTTTCTCACTCATCTCAATAGAAAATGCACTATTCCAAACCATGTCTGTCATTTAAACTCATTCACTTTATTATGTAACTATAACAATTCACTTGATCTGTTTTAATTACCAGTTAATTAAGCTTTTCAAGAAATGTATTATATTTATAACAAATGTTCTGTAAATAGAATAAAATGTGCACCACATTTGTTGCACTGATTTATTTCATAAACATTTCTGAAACAATGGACAAAATTAAGGTGGCCTATTATACCAGATGATTAGTGCTGCTGTAATTAGCAATGCAGTCTTTATTTCTTCTAGCTCTTTTGAACAGACTGCTTTGCTAACTTTTATCCTTCACTGCTACTCAGCCCAAAATGGCATTTGCCATCATTTCAGGTTGATAATTTAAGTGAGTCGAGTGACAACTACCAAGCCATTGCCAAAGCTTCATTTTAACTATTCAGAAAGGGTGATAATGAGAATTACGAAGCGAATGCATTAGAATGTTCAAAATTCTTTGACTTATGCAATAGATGTAATTTGTATATTGAGCAGGAAGCAAGGGAGGGAATTATGTGTTAGCCATTAAATATCAGAGGAGAACAACCTCTGATCATATAAGTGGTTCCCAACCTTAGGTAACCCAGGTATTCTTGGACTGCAACTCCCAGAAGCCTTCACTACTAGCTGTGCTGGCTGGGGTTTCTGGGCGTTGCAGTCCAAGAACACCTGGAGTTACCCAAGGTTGGGAGACACTAGCAAAGGTAATGTCTTATGTATCAATAGAGTCCTCTCTCCTATGCCTTAAATATGTCTTTACTTCTGTGCCAGTTTCTACAGTAGATATCTCGCGGAATATCTAACTTCCCAACTTTGAAACAAAGTTCCCTGTAGTTGTCATTGATTTTCAGCTTATTTATCAAATGTACTGAGAAATTTTCAGTCTGCCTAAACATTGAAGGGAAAAGATAACCCATGGGTAGTATACACTTTCTTCCTTTAGCATTGTGAGTCTATACCATCCACTTTTGTGATGAGGTGGCAAGCTTGTAGAAGAGGCATTCAAAAGCGTATTTGGTTTTAGTGCTTCGAAGCAGGCTTGATATTCCAATAAGGTCTGATTTATGCTATGGGACAAATAGTTCTCTGTGTCTTCAATAGCATGATAGCTGGTTAGCTTCTCTGTGTACAATTGCATAAAAACGCAAAGGAGAAAATGATTTCAGATAAGCATTAATAAAACTATGACAATCTGATATCATTAGAACGTTTTTAAAAAACTAGAGTTGGAGGGTCTCTGTCAAGGTTTTTTCCCCTTTTCTTTTGACTTCTCCACCAAGCTCTTTTGTTTGATAGGTACTTACTGCTCTTTCCTATGAGAGATACTTAGAGTGTTGTGTTTTTGAGTGAAGGCATCTAGTATAATCTCTGGGCATTTCTCATTAACAGGATGCCCCCTATACTCTTCAGTAGCCACTTAGATTGATGGCAGGCAGAAGTCAGATATTTTCTGGTAAAGGCCTTTTATGTGTCAGCCTTTGGGGTTGAGGGAGAGATGTTTAAAGGGAAAAGCTAAGTGCCTAGGAAAGGAAGGAGAGAAAAGTCAGTTTTAACCATGGCAGTTGAAACTTTGTGAGGCACTCACCATACAAAGGTGCATCAGGTTCTCTTGTAGCAGTTCAATCTCTGAAGCAAGTGTACTGTTTAATTAAAAAAGGAATTGTGACCACTGCGATGAAAAAGGTGGAAAAAACAGACATTCCACAACATTTACATGGATCAGGAAGAAGTAATTGCTGACAGTGAAAACAGTTGTTACTGCTAGAAAAACTAGTTAACTAAATGTGACATATAGGCCAAAATCCTGTTGAAGGAAGTCACATGGGAAAGAGCAAACAATCAGACAGACTGTTTTTCCCTTTTGCTTGCTATTTGTCACATGACAGACAGTACATGAACAACTGCTGAACCAAGGGGTTAATAGGTGGAATCACTTTAACACTTGGCGCTTCTCCTTGTGCAGTCTCATAAGCCAGTAAAGCCATACCTGTATTCTGGGGAAGTCTGGGAAGTCGTCCTAGTTAAAAAGCAAACGCTTTCCCTCAAACATTGGTTTTCTTTTGGAAAGATGGGGAAGTCAGAGAAGCTATCTAGAATAAAAACTTTGGAATCCATGTTGGCGTGAAACAAATTCTGTGCTGATGACATACTTTTGTAATTTTTTAATTGGCCTAATAAAGTTATCACTGGATTTATCTAGAATAAGTACTTCTTCGTGGCCTCTGTGAATCACACTATGGGTAATCCGCGCATGCACAGGGCCTCGTCGGAATATTCTACAGCTTCTGCGGTAGCAAAGGAAAATATATTAGCATAGACCCCTCCCCCCTAGTATATGTACCTTGGCGCCAAAGCTCTCCCTTCAGTTAGGTCAACCGCTACATAAGAGGTGTGATAGTGGGGAGGCTGGGTCAGGACGTGTGAATTACAGAGGTCCACTTGAAGAACTACAGTTACAGGTAAGTAACCTGTTGCTCCTCCACAAAGTTGTAGTCTGGTTTCAGCAGGACAGGCCCAACACTATCCTGATAACTCTATGCTGGCTGTGACAGCCATGGTTCCCAATTCTCCACCAGCTGTCGTCCGACATTTATCACCTGCCCTGTCTACCTCACCTGCTCATACAGAACAAAAATCAAATTCTCCACCCAGATCTCCCTGCTCTTCATCTCACAGCACGGAGGATTCAGCCTCACTGATAAATGTCATTCATCATGCAAAGAAACCTTCAACCAGGAAGGCCTAAATGTATAAATGGGGGGAAAATCCAAGCTTTTACTGCAGTGTCATCTTTTTCCTCAACCAACTCCTCTCTTACCACTGTCTTATGTTTTTTATTACAGTTAAAAAATAAGGGTCTTTCTCTCTCGTACCTCAAGGTCTACCTTTCTGAAATTGTGGCTTATCAAACCTCTCAGCAACTAGGTTTTCCAGACACCCTACTCTGAAACGTTTCCTCAAGGGGCTATCACACCTCTACCACAGATGTCCATCTTCCACCACCTCATTGGTCACTGACATTCATCCTTTGACAACTTACAAGGGCCCTGTTTGAGCCCTGACATCAACTGACTTCAGGTTACTTACCTTCAAAACGATATTTCTTGTGGCCATCACATCAACTTGACGTCCTAGTGAACTTGCGGCCTTAATGTCTGACTGCCCTTATCTCCAGTTTTACCCAGATAAAGTTAAACTTTTTGTAGATTTTTTTCCTACCCAAGGTTGTCTCCCAATTCCACCTATCCCAACCTTTAGTTCTACCTACTTTTTCCCATCTCCTCCTACTCATCAAAAAAGGATCATCCATACTCTGGATGTAAGACAGGCTCTGGCTTTTACATAGCCCACACTCAATCCTTCAGATGCTCAGCTAGACTTTTGTCATCTACCGACTTCCTGCCAAGGGTCTTCAAGTTACATTGCAGAGAATATCTAACCGGGTTGCATCTACCATCCAGCTTGCTTATCAGCTTGCTGAAATTCCAGCACCACAGAGTATCCACCCTCATTCTATGGCATTGGCAACATCTATGGCATTTCTTCGGGGTGTCCCCATACCAGACATCTGCGCCTCTGCCCCATGGTCACAGCTGTCCATGTTTATCAGTCACTACAGATTGGATGTTCAGCAGTAATCTGATGCTGCTTTTGAGTGTGCTGTGATATCATCTACCTTGGCGTGACACCCTCCTCCGACTACGGTAGCTTTTTAGTCACCCATAGTGTGATTTACAGAGGCCACAAAGAAGAACAATAGGTTACTTACTTGTAACTGTAGGTCTTCGAGTGGACCTCTGTGATTCACACATCCTGACCTGGCCTCCCCACTGTCGCACCCTTTTCTTTATGCGGCGGTTGACCTAACTGAAGGGAGAGCCTTGGCGCCAAGGTACATATAGTGGGGGGAGGGGTCCATGCTAATGTATTTTCCTTTGCTACCACAGAAGCTCTAGAATATTCCGACGAGACTCTGCACATACATGGATTACCCATGGGTGCGATGATCGTGGGGAAGCGATCATTGCAAAGCCCCCGCCGATCAGCTGTGCGAAAATGGGGACTTTGCAATGATTGCAGGAAGCGATCATCGCAAAGTCCCCATTTTTGCACAGCTGATCGGCGGTTCCAAAATGGACGCTGGGTAAAAAAAAATGCTGCCCGCTGTTTTGCCTCGCTTTAGAGGCACCGAAAATGGCTGCCGCAATGGAGGATTTTCGCATAAGGTGAGTTTTTAAGCCCATAGGAATGCATTAAACGCGTTTTAATGCATTTCTATGGGCTTTTTAAAATTGCTTAGTGATGAAATCGCATAGCAGCGATTTTTGCTGTGCAGTTTAACATCGCTAAGCGAGGCACCACTGTATTAAGTACTTGCAGCAATTCACTGCTGGGATGTACATTAATTGTGGGATGCTTGTGGGTATAACTGATAGTATTTTGGCCAGTGTATTTCAGCTTGTGTGTAGGAAACTTCACCATCCAGTATAGCTCAAAACTGATACCACTGATTTTGTCATATGATGTGTGCACAATTCTAACAACTAGCTCAGAGAAGGAACTGTACAAATCACTTTGTTCAGCTACATACACATAAAAACAAGTCTGGTCTGGACATGTATATAAACATTTTATTTGACTTGGAACACTCTTTCTCTTAGATAATATTATGACTGATAAGCAAGCAGTTGCATGTGCCTGTAATATGACTGTTTCGCTGCATAAAGCGGCCTGAGGACATTTGAAAGCTAGCTATTTGCTGACTTGGAGATTAAAGGAATATGCATGTCAGAAATACATAGTAGAATCAAATTGAATTGGAGAGGGATGATCACTCCCTTGTGCAACCCCAGCATCATTTCTGGATGAAATAAATGGAATACTCTGCAGCTGTTTTCAGGTGCTTTGGAAGACTTGTGGGGCAGGGGGAAAGGAAGAAAGATCTAATCTGTGGATGTCTGACTACCAGCGCAACACTGGATTTATTTCATTTATTGGATAAAAATACAACAAAACAATATATTGTTTGTATCATGACTAATTGGATTGGTGGTTCTTGAAGATAAGACACATGGTTGTGTTCATTGAATTTGTACCTGGATCTTCTTCCAAAGCCCAAAACAAAATACAGTACAGTAGTTTCTTTCAGTAGTCAGACTAATGAAGCTGCATTTATTTAAATTACTCCTAAAGTAATTTGTTTACCAAGCAAATAATTCTTTCCAATGCTGTTATAACATTCTGAATTGATACCTGTGTTTACTTCATTGAGCATGAGACTAAATGACAAAAATATCAGGTCCAAACTGAATATCAGGTCCAAACTGACTTCATTCTTGCATTCTCTTTCAATAATTTAGGAAAGTAGTATACCATTAAGATTGTGCCAAAAATGAGAACCAGAAAGCTGACTAGTGTTTTCCCAGCATTGATCTCAGACTTGGGGAGGGCACCGTGCACATAAACACTGAAAACTGTTGTTAGGTCACAGTAGCTATAAAATGCATCTACAACAATGACTTTGAAGACATAAATGCCATTGTACTGTTGAAATAATACTCTGTTTTTCTCATTCATATTTAGAACTTGATACTTTGAGGAAGCTGATGGCAACGACTTATTTCCTCTGGGTTTCTTGCAACTCTCATAATTAATTCTAGTCCATGTACTACCACTTAGGTTCACTCCAGGATCATCTTGTGTTTGAATAGTCCAGTTCTGTGCTTTTGATAAGCAATTGGCCTCTACTTCAGTAAGGAGATAATCGTAATTATGCATTCCATTTATTTCAAACAGTACAAAATCAGCTGAAACATACTCTACAAATTTATCTTCATCCCACAGTTCAAGAAGTGGAAGCCATGGAATGTCATAATATAGGAGAAGAGGACATCCCCAGAGATCATAACGATAGGTTACATTAAGGTCTTCCTGTGCTAAACCTTTTCTGCCACGAAACAAAGGATCATAAACATTCCGATCAATGAAATAAGTTAAATTCTGTAGTAGGCGTTGCTCAAAGAGGCCTTTGCTACATGCTGTTGTAGTTTTCACAATTCTGATATGTTTCTTAGGTGGACAGTCCACTGCAATGAGAGCTGTCAATGGATGCATATCAACACAAAATATGCCTTTGTTGTATATGTCCACAGTAAATGAAGATAACTTGCCGAATAAATAATCATTTTGAAAATCCTGATGAGCCATACCTGAGAATTGTTGCTCCAGCAACTTAATATATAATATGTATTGAGGATTTCCATCATAGGTATAGCCTTCTTGAACTAAGTGTGCTTGGAATGCCAGGACATGGGGATTGCTCACCGTTACGTATGGATATGCCCCAGTGCCTGGCTTGGGCACAAATGTGACATTAAAATAAAGTTGCTGCTTCACATCAATGTAAAACATATGATCATGGAACTCACCACTGAGGATCTCTACAGGACAAGATGGCAGTGGGGGCCGCAAATTCATGAGTGTGTCCTGTATGTTGATGATGCATTTCTCAAAATGGTAATGTGCAGAATCATTGCTGCGAACAGGGTTTATGATGCTAAGTGTTCCAGTATTCTCAAACATCAGCACTTCACAAGGTTCTCTTGTGTCGTTACTATTTTCTTTCCCAAGATGCACCATTTGGTTGGAGTTCATGTCAAGGCTTCCATAGAAAAGCTGATGCCTGGTGAGGGCTGCAATCTCTGTACTGCTAACAGCCACAAAGCATACACCATCTTCATGCAAAGGCAAGGTCTTGTTTGGATAGCTGTCTGTGGGAATTATAGTGATGCCTTCTGTTGTCAGTCCATTGTTGGAGGAGCTTACGAAAGAGTCCTGGGTCCAAAATTTGATATAACCTTTCATGCCAGGGGGAAGTATGCTTTGAACTCTCTCATTGTCATGGGGTTCTAACTCAAAAGGTGTGCCTGTTTCATTTCTCATGTCCCGGAAGTCTCCATACATGAAGTAAATAGATGTCACATTACCTTCAGTCTTATTGAGGAGCATTCCAATTTCAGATATGGAAGCAAAATTGTAGACACCGAGCAGTATGCCATCTGTGTGAGGCCTACTCAGTAAAGGCTGAAACACATAGCCTCCATCTAATGAGTAGAAGATGTGGCTGTCCTCAACCAAATTGCCTGTATCATATGCCAGAACAATACTACTGATCTCAAGGCAGCCAGGATATATAAAAGAATAGCAGCAATCATAATTTGAGAGTTCAGTAACTGGATAATTAATTCCAATTGACTGTTTCCATATTGTCCATGGTGAATAGAAATAAATAAAAATGTTCCCATTGACTACCAGCAGAACCCGAGTTGTCTGAATAAAGGCAGCAGCACTAACCAAGGCTGGTGATACTGTCATTTCTTTTGGGATGACTACTGGCAGAAGACTACTCTCAAATCTATCCAAACTAAGAAACACCTGTGGCCCAAGGTAAATAGCTGGGGCAATGCCCCTCTTAAATTGTTTTCCACATGGATGCTGTATCAGGAGAGGGTCCTCATGGCTGAAACGCAAAGGCTCACCAACTTTATCCAGCAATGGGTCAAAAGATGAAGCTGAACGAACTAGTCGCTTATTAGTGCATGGCCAAGAGCCAACATTCACCCCAACTGAGCACAGCCAAAACTTCACTGACAAGACAAAGTAGGAACCACACTTCCACATGAACATGATCTCATTCCCTTTGATCAAATGTGGCAAGGGAGGGGAAGGATAAAGGTAAGCGCAGTAGTGTTATATTTCGTTCCCTCAGAGTTCTCCTCTCAACTGCTCTGGCTGCTGATTCCAAAGGCAGTTGACTGAGTTAAGAGGGGGAGGGGTACCAGAGGAATGCCTTGTACATTACTCTTGTTGACGGTGGTATATTTTTTTGCTGCTTTTAGTGCATCATCGTCATCATTTATTCATTTGTTCATCTAAAATATTTTTAGCCCACCTTTTTCTGGAAAGAGGACTCAGTGGTGCTAAGTATCTGGGACAGATTAGCAGTAGTTGCATGCCAATTTTTCTTACGCAATGAATAAGATGAAATAGTAATTTAATACTGAAGCCAAGTACAGACAGCACAGAAGTAGTGTTTTTGTTACACCAAAGTTTGAAGCTGTCTCTGTATCCATTGTTTCTTGTGACACTGATAAGATTCCATTTTCATTTAATTTACAGACTGCTATTTTGCCAGCCCCTCAAATTTTGCGATAGACCTGAGGTTAACTTGAACAAATAGGAACTCAATAACCGGTGTTTGCTATTATAGTGAACAACAGGACCTACAAAAAGATGCTGGAATTTCTTTTCAAGTGAAGCATTCTCCAGCCTACATTCTCTTTCAGTCTCTCTCTCCCCCCCTCCCCGTGACCTTTTTTCCCCTCTTTACCTCTTCCATATGTATTGGCTTTCTTACTGTCTAATTGTCTTTTTCTCTCTGCCCTGCACCTTGCATATGTGTGTTCATGTTCCTTGGTTTTGCCTCCACAGCAGCTGACATGGGACTGTCAAATTTTACCATGATAGAAACTCCAAAGGTAGTAGTGGAGCTGCATCTAATCCCTGTCTTCCCTCTGCTGAACAGCTGACCTACAGATTTACGAACAGTAAAGAAATGGCTTCTTCAGATTGTCCTGTTCTTTTCCAGGAAAAATGTTTTTCCAACATTACGACAATGGGAAAGGAGGAAAAAGCAGAGTGGTTTGTTGATTATTTCCACTGATTCAGTGGGCCTACTCTTGTGCAATTTGCTATCCTAAGAAACAGGGTTTTGACTTTTGTGATGCCCCAATAAAGAAGAAAAGAAAAAAGGGGGAAAGTCAAATAGGAAGGAGGGTGAGATGGAACCTGGCAGGTGAAACTCCTAGACTTTCTTTTTAATTTTTTTTTTAATTTGTCTTAAACTACAGCATGAACATAATCATAGAATCCATAAAACAAAATACAAGTCAACTGTGTTCCCCACCACCATAGTCGGGACCTCTTGCAGTAATCCTCTTCTTCCTCTATCCTTCTTCTTCTTTCTTTCTTTATTGTCCTCTTCTCCAGAACTGCATTGATTCTTGATTTGGAGCTTTCCCTTTTCCTCTTGTTAGCACATATTCAAGAAATCTTCCCCATATATCATAGAAATTATTCTTTTTCCTCTCTCCTTTCTTAACCTTTAAGTTACAAGTTAACTTATCATTTATAGCAGTGTTCCATATTTCATTATACCATTCTTCCATTTGAAATTCAGACTTTGATTTCCAGTTCCTAGCTATTATTAATCTGGCCGCTGCTAATAAATTGGTAATCAACTCTCTAGTCATCTTATCATATTGCACATTCTCAAATATTGATAACAGAGCTATCTCTGGATTAAATTCTATATCTTTTTCACATATATCATTAAGTTCTTTAAAGATTAGTTTCCAAAATCTTTGTACGTTTTCGCATTCCCACTACATATGAAAGTATGTACCAATTTGCTTCTCACATTTCCAACAGACATTCAGATAACTAGCGTTAATTTTATTTAATTTTGTCTGTGTCAAATACCATCTTAAACCCAATTTGAAAAAATGTTCTTTTATTCTCACTGACATAAATCATAAAACCCTCGTTTTCCACATCTTCCTCCATTCTTCATTATTTATTCATTTTCCTAGGTCTTGTTCCCACACTAACTTCAGTCCTTCTTTCTCAATCTCCTCTTCTTCTAGATCTAGCAGGAATCTATAAATTTTACTGACTGCACCCTTTACTGAATCAGTCATCTGAATATATTCATGATAAAGGAATTGTTAATACTGTACTTTGTATATTCTCTACCTTTATTATACTTCTTTACCCATTCATTAGTCCATCTTTCTAATTGCATATAATTCAACTATGATATATTCTTATTATGAAGGATTTGTTTCATTTGATCTTTCAATCTCATTTTATACAACCAGTTTTTTAATCCAATCACTTTTTTTCTTTAAACTCTTAGACTTTTTAACAGTGTGTTTGTGGCTCCTCCTCCTGCAGGTACATTGCAAGCAGTCACTTTGCCAGAGGCAGGGCTTCCGTATCATGCAAAGTGCAATGCTAAGTACACACTTAGTGTCACATTTGGAGGAATATGAAAGAATATTAGATGATCTCTCCCTACAGGAATGGCCAGTTTAGATCACAAGACTGGCCAATCCCTGCTCTGAAATTCTGGGATTTTGAAAGGTGCTACTTTCCTACTCTTTTGAGCTATACTTTGAACCCAGAACTTCTTTATTGTGGTTGCTCCCCCCCCCGTACCTGTGAAGGACTTACCCAACAACTGTTCATTTTGATTGCCGCATTCTTTATTAAGTATTAAATTAATGTAGCAGTTGTTCCTGATTTATCTGCCTCTTTTTGCTTTCTTGAAGATTACTTAAACGTTACTGACTTCTGGTGGAGGGGTGCATTTTCATAAGAGGGAGAGTGGTGAAGGAAAACTTGGAGGCCCAACAATAACACAGCAGCAGTAGATATGCAAACGGACAGCAGCTATGAAAGAATGTATAAAGGCAAGAGCAACAGGATGTTGGTTGCCCCCAAGCCATCCCCCAGTTCAAATAGTCTGAGAGTCTTAGTGCCCCCCCCAGTTCCCACTATTGCAGATTTGTCAAGTCAGTGAATGGGAAAACAACAAATATGACTTGATCTTAGATTAATGTGTTGGCCTTCCCAAGATGAAGCTGCAGAGAGCAAGTAATCCTTCTTAACTCTGCCTAGCCAGGTTCTCCGTGCAGCAGCAGGCAAGCCCAGGGCAGAGAAATGGAATTGCAATGGCCTTTGATGATGCAATACCCCTCACAGACACCACTTTCACAGTTTGCCGTACCTGAATGTGTATATCTGGAGGTGGGCACCCAAGGTAGAACACGGTGTTCATTGGTATCCCACATATCCTACGGCACTGTGATCTTCCCTTTCTATGCTGAACTGGTTTCAGGGTGGTGCTGACATTCCCCTTGCTTGTTCTCCTGAGAGACTTCAACATCCATCCAGATAAAGCCTTTTCAGGAGTAGCTGAAGAATTACCCCAAGTGATGTCTGTTACCATCAGGCTGCAACACACAGGTGGAATGCTGCTGATGTGGTTACGGAGAAACTCCTTGTAGTTCCTTTGTCATGAACAGATTACTAGCTAGCAGAGTTTAGATTCACTTGAATTCAGAGCCACTGGAGGGGTGGGGAACTGGTTTAGATGGCCCTTTGCAGGAGGCTAATGGATCTGAGTGGTTTCCTGATTACTCTTGAGAATTTCTTGTTTCAGGTGATTCTTCTGAATCTCTAGTTGATATCTGGAATGGGGAAATAGCTAGGATAGGTTTTCATCTTTAAAGCTCTAAATCACCAGACTATCTGAAGGACTGTGTCTCCCCACATGAGCTTCCCAGATTTTAAGATTTTTTGTAGGCAAATCTGGTGAAGTCAGGGCTTTTTTGGTGGCTGCTCCCAGGTTGCAGAGCATATCTCCACAGAACACCAGAACTTCTTGCCTCTTGGATGTTCTTCAACCAGCAGGCTAAGACATTTCTGTTTAGGCAGACTTTTTAAAGAATAAATAACTGATAAGGAAGGGGGTACAATGGGGGAGTTGTGTCCTTTCTCTTTTTCAATATTAAAAAAAAATTAAGGGGGTTTCAGTATTTTTAATGCTTAATATGTTTTTAACAAAACATTGTAATTTAATGGATTTTAGTTGCTTTAACACTTTTAAAAATTCTTCGTAAATCACCTTGTGTGTCTTTGTTGGGAAAAACAAAGGGTATAGATTAAATAAAATAGATGAATGAATAAATAAAAAAGACAGCCCCTGAAACTATTGTAATATAGCCAATCAAAGCCTGAACAAGAAAGAACACATTCATCCATACGCACTCTCCCATCAACAGTCTAGATCAGTCCTTCGATAATCTTGACTGGAATTTTTTGATATATACGTTGGAAACACTGCAAATTGGAGAAAGATTTATGAAATTAATTAAAGCAATATATACTGAACAAAAGGCGAAAGTGAGAATTAATGGTGAGTTATCAAAAGAAATCCAAATACAGAAAGGTACTAGACAGGGGTGTCCACTGTCCCCACTCCTATTTATTTTGACCCTGGAAATACTAAACGAACAAATTAGAAATAAAAAGGAACTGAAAGGATTAAAAGTAAAAGGTCAAGTCTACAAACTTCAGGCCTTTGCGGATGATTTAGTCATCATACTGGAAGAACCACTGTATTCAATAAAAGACTTGATGGCAACGTTAAAAATTTTTGGTGACATGGCAGGAACGAGAATAAATCAAAAGAAGACCAAAATACTTACCAAAAATATGAGAGAACAAGAACAACAAGAGTTAATAGAGAAGACGAACTTCCAAGAGGAAAAGAAAATTCGATATCTAGGAATACAAATTACAAAGAAGACAAGCACACTATTTAAAGATAACTACATGAAACTAACGAAGGAGATACAGAACAATTTGGAGAAATGGGACAAATTACAATTATTGTTGCTGGGAAGAATTGCGGCGATTAAAATGACCATCTTGCCAAAAATCTTATTTTTATTTCAGTCAATTCCTATCATATTAAAACAGTCCTTTTTTAAAGAATTCAATAAGATAATTATGAGATTCATATGGCAAAACCCAAGAATTAAAATTAAGGCAATGCAAGACGCTAAGAAGAGGAGTGGCCTTGGCCTTCCTGATTGGGTTCTATATTATAGAGGTTGTATTTTAGATTGGATAAAAGAATGGATAACTCTAGAAAATGATAGATTACTTATCTTGGAAGGACACGATTTGCAATTAGGTTGGCATGCTTATTTATGGTATAAAAAGGATAAAGAACAAAAGAACTTTAATTCACATATGATAAGAAAAGCTTTACTGGGAATGTGGAGAAAGACTATACAACAAATTTATTACAAAATACCTGTATGGGTGTCACCGACAGAGGCCTTTACACAACCTAATCTTATGACAAAAGCAAATCTTTTTAAGATATCAAGATTTATTTTAAAAGATGGTGAAATAAGGTCTAAAGAGGAGCTAGAGTCACAGAATGTCCATATAGATTGGTGGCCTAGAGTACAGCTAGAATCTAGATATACAAAAGATAAAATAGAAGGTTTCTACTCAGAGCAAACAATTTTTGATATACTTTTACTGGGTTCAAAAGAACAAATTGTTAAGAAAATGTATAATTATGTGCTGGAAATTAAAATGCAAGATGAAACGGTTAAGGAATGTATGATTAAGTGGGCACAAAACATAGGGCATAACATTGATATTGATCAATGGCTGAAAATATGGCAAAATAACATAAAGCTTACAAGATCGGTTGATTTTAAAGAGAATATATATAAGATGTTTTATAGATGGCACATGACCCCAGAAAAATTGTCAAAGATGTATACAGGTGTATCAAACAAGTGTTGGAAAATTTGAAACACAAGTGGGAAGTTATTATCATATGTGGTGGTCATGTGGAGTAGCGAGAAAATACTGGAAAAGAATACATGCTATGCTACAACAAATATTGCTCTGTAAGGTGCCATTAACCCCAGAATTGTTTTTACTGAGTATTATACCTGATAATACAGATAAGTCAAAGGAATATATACTTATATATATTGTTACGGCAGCTAGAATTATATATGCTAGAAATTGAAAAGTCCGACGGTACCGAAACAAGAAGATCTTATTGAAAAGATACGGGAAATAGCCGAAATGGATATCTTATCAGAAGTCATGAAAGAGCAACCCCTGCAAAAGGCAACAGAAATATGAGATGTATTTAACAAGTGGACTGAATCAACAGACAGGGGCTGAATAACATATATTGAAATGAGAACTTTATCTACAAGGCAGAAAAGAGTAAACAGAATAACTTAAAACCTTGATATGGCAATAGGTATAGATTGGATATCAGTATGTTATTGTCTCCCCTCTTCCTCATTAATTCCAATTCCTTTTTTCCTTTTTGTCACCCCTTATGTTAAAAAAATTTAAATAAATTGCAAAAAAAGTCTAGATAGTATAATCCCAAAGTGTAAGGCAATATAATACATATATTAAAAAGAGGAAAACTCCAAAAGGCAACAGCTAGTATAAAAGTGACACAACAGCATTTCCTCCTGCTTTAATTCAAAACACTTGCCCAAGAAAAGGGTTATATCAACTCCAGTGACCTCATGCTTGATCCTTCCTAGGATCTCAGCAGCTGGATTGCCCAGGAGAGCTCTAAGTCTTCACTGTAGGTTCAGCTTTCAATCTCCTTCTCCCATGGGACTTCCTCTTTGTGCTATTGCTTTAACCCCAATCCTGCCCAAGTGAACATGAATGGTACCTTCAGGTAAGAGCTCTGCTTTAGAGGTTATTGGAAATATCTTGCTCCACCCTTTAACAGCTGAAAAGGGCACAAATACCCCTGATTCAGTCTGCTTTGCAACTTTTCTCCAAAGACGTTACATTCTTAGTTTGGATTTGGTTTACAAGATGTCAACTTGCAGGAAAGAGGTAATTATATGTGTTACATTACAAAAACAATTAGACAAATATATATTGAAGAGTGAATTAGAATTTTAGTTAATGTTACTAGCTTTCTGGTGCTGTGCAAAATGGTGGGTTTGTACAATGTGCTGAATTTTAGCATATTTTTGACAACAAAATACTTATACTGGCAGTTTTATACATTAGCCTTACTGTGAGTATTTGAAGACACTAATGGGTGCACATGGTTTAATTATCAAAACTTCAGGATTTTCTATAGTTGCTATGATGATTACAGAAATATATATATGGGCACTTCGTTATAATGTCAGAATTGCTCTTGTGCCCAAGGCATATGATTCTAATATTGACCAAGAACATGAATATAAATCGTCAAGTCCAAATTTATCTATTTTCATTCTTGAATGCTGGTGAACATAAATAGTAGTACTGCAATGATTATGCAGCATATTTCTTACTTCATTTTTGATACAGTGCAAGAAACAATCCACAGCATTTACATTGATAGAAAACAAGCATACTGTCATGTAAAACAGCTAAATTCCAGTCTTTGTTTTTGTCACATTGGGAAAACGCTATGTTGACAAAGAAAAGAGATTGTTTGTTTGTAATACAGGAAGGAAGAATATTCAAAAAATACATTTAGAAAATGAATCAAAAGTTAGTTGTCATTACCAGAATAAGAGACCTATGAAAATAACTACAATTCTGGTTTAGAGAACAGAAATAGAAGAAACTCAAAAACAACAGTCAAAACAATAGTATGACAAAGATTTTTATGAAATAAAATATAATTACATGCAATTTTATGTATATCATAGAATGAGCACCAGAAACATTGCTATTGATGCTTTGCCTCTAATAAATGCACATTTGTTATAACAAACACCCAAGGCTAGTAGTGTATAAATAAAACAGGATTTATTTTCCCAGCTGTTGTGCTAAGATGTTTAAATCTATACCTGTATCAACAAGCTTGAATGTGGCACTATTAGGACTAACAAGTTAGGTCCAAATAGATTTCATTCTTGCATTTTCCTTCAGTAATTTAGGAAAGTAGTATACCATTAAGATTGTGCCAAAAATGAGAACCAGAAAGCTGACTAGTGTTTTCCCAGCATTGATCTCAGACTTGGGGAGGGCACCGTGCACATAAACACTGAAAACTGTTGTTAGGTCACAGTAGCTATAAAATGCATCTACAACAATGACTTTGAAGACATAAATGCCATTGTACTGTTGGAATAATATTCTGTTCTTTTCATTTTTGTTCAATACCTGGTAGATGGAGGAAGCTGATGGTAATGACTCATTTCCTCTAGGTTCCTTGCAACTTTGATAATTATACCTGGACCATGCATTATGTGGTTCGGCTTCAGGATAATTTAAAAGTGTGGTCCAGTTCTGAGCCTGAGATACACAGTTAGCCTCTACTTCTGTCAGAAGATAATCATAATTGTGCATTCCATTAATTTCAAAGAGTACAAAATCAGCAGATACATACTCTACAAATTCATCATTGTCCCATAGCTCAAGAAGTGGGAGCCATGGACTATCATAATATAGGAGAAGAGGACATCCCCAAAGGTCGTAGCGATAAGTTACGTTAAGGTCTTCCTGTGATAAATGCTGTCTGCCATGAAATGTAGGATCGTATACATTGTGATTAACTGAGTAACTGAAATTATTCTGCAGTACTACATTCTTAAAGAGACCCTTACTACATGCTGTTGTAGTCTTAACAATTCTGATATGTTTCTTAGGTGGACAGTCCACAGCAATAAGAGCTGTCAATGGATGCATGTCAATACAGAATATGCCTTTGTTGTATATATCCACAGTGATGGTAGATAGTCTGCCTATGTAAATATCTTCTTGAAATTCAGGTCGGGCCATATTTGAAAATTGTTGCTGCAGTAGCCTAATTTTCATGCTGTATCTGGTATTTCCATTATATGTATATCCATCTTCCACTATATGTGCCTGGAATGCCAGAACATGAGGATTGCTTACAGTTACATAGGGATGTGCCCCCGTGCCTGCCTTGGGCACAAATGTGACATTAAAATGAAGCTGTTGTTTCATATCAAGGTAATACATTTTGTTATGGAAATCACCACTGAGGATCTCTACAGGACAGGGCTGCAGTGGTGGCTGCAAAGTCATGAGTGTGTCTTGTATGTTGATGGTACATTTTTCAAAATTATAATATTCAGATTCATTGCTCCGAACAGGGTGGAAGAGTAAAATCATTCCAGTACTCACAAACGTCAATGCATCACAGAAGTCATCAGTGGCATTAATGTCTGCATCTCCAATATGTACCATCTTTGTGGATACCATATCCAGGCTACCATAGAAAAGCTTCAAATCATTTGTGATGGCTGCAATTTCATTTGTGCGGACGGCCACATTACAAAAGCCTTTACCATGTAAAAGGAATGACTTGTTGCCATATTTTTCTGTAGGATGCACTGTGATGGGTTCTACGGTAAGGCCATTGTTAAAGGAGAATAGGAGAGAGTTGTTTGTCCAAAGGATGATAAAGCCCCTGAGGCCTGGCGGAATTAAGCTGATGATTGTCTCGTTTTCACATGGTTCCAGGCAAAATAGTGAACCTTTGCGGTTGTTCATATATAAAGCACCACCATATATGAAATAGGAAGATTCCCTATACCCCACTGTTGCGTTGGTGAACACTGCAATTTGTGACAAAGATATGAAATTGTAGGCCCTAATGGCAGTGCTGGAACTTGGGGTATTGGATATTCTGCTAAATGAGTATCCTCCATCTTTGGAGAAAAAGATGTTGCTATAATCAGTTGGATCTTCTGGTTTATAAGCTATAATGGTATTGCCAACTCTCCTGCATACAGGGTCCTCTGCAGAAAAGCAGCAGTCTATATTCGTGATTTCAGTAACTGGACGATCAATACCTTTTGACTTTTTAAAGCCTTCCAATGTTGAATATAAAAACAGAAAGACTTTTTCATTTATTACTAGGAGTATTCGAGAGTTTTCCACAAAGACAACAGCACTGACTATAGCAGGTGAGGTCACATAATAATTTGAGATGGTCAATGGCAAGAGGCTACTCTCAAATCCATCTAAGCTGAGGAAGACTTTTTTCCCAAGGTATATGGCTGGAGGATTCGTTTCTTCAAAGTAATCTGCTGTACATGGGTGATAGAGTAGAACAGGGTTATTGTGTTTGTAAGAGAGGTTAATGCCATATCCCTTTATTTTTGAATGGTAGGCATAACTTGAATAAACCAGTCGCTCCTCACTACACGGCCATTCACCATTAAATCTAGCCAGGCTCAGCACACACTTTACTAAGAGAATTGTCAAGGAACATGACTTCCACAAAGCAGTATTTTGAATCATTCTCTTAAGCCCGTGATAATGTAGTCTGTGGATAAATGTCCCCTGTGTGAAACTGGATACCTGTATTATTTTTCAAGTTTCATTCTTCTTCAGATTCTAACTGCTGTCCTTACAGCAAGTTCTGAGAGGCAGTTGGCTGTTAAATGGGGGAGGGGTAAAGAAAAGCCTGTCATATGATGCTCCACACACTTCAGTGCCATCTTGTTCCTGTACATTTGATGATAGATGAGATTCATTTAGCAAGGAAATGTTGCACTGTCATGCCACACAGATACACAGAGAAACATCCTGAGCACTCTCCTGTATTAATTGTCACTACACCCAGCTGAAGCAAGAGAAAGGAGGCAGTCATCTGCTTCTCTGAGGGACTACCTTCATTTAGTGCCTCCTCTCTCTGACTTCTCTCCCTCAGTGTCCATTTCACCTCATAATTCATTATCATTACAGACACTGGCTCCATTTTTATTTGATCACTGGAGATTTACAACCTTTTTGTGGAGCACAATTTATATAGAAATATACAAAAATATCAGAAGGGAGATAAGCAGAATTCACACTCCATTCCTGGCACCATGCAAGATAATACCGGAAGGAAATGCCAACACCTCAAGGTCCCTCCCAAACTACAGCTCCCAACTCTTCAGCGGCTGCCTTTTTATATTCACCAAACTGCAGATCTCTTCACACAAAGACCTTATGATCCAGTCTGAAATGGGGTGTCAATGAAGATATAAATCATCTTAACCCAGCCCTGATGGTCTTTGTATTAAAAGCATGACAGCCATGTATTTTGTGTATTAAACAAAACAAAACAAAATCTTGGAAAGACTTTGGTCTTGAGACATTACCAAGCAATTTCCTAACAAATATGCTTAACATGTTTGGTCAGCACTCATAATGAAAATAATCAATGTGTACTGAGAAGTACGTCCAATGGGGCTTGCTCCCAATTAAAATAGAATTGGAGTCCTACTGCACAATCTACACAAGCCTACTCAAATGAAAACTCAATTGCATTCAGTGGAGTTTACTTCCAGGTACATGTATATACGTTTGCAGCCTTAAGGTTCTATCACCAGTAAAATAGATTTCCCTACTGAAGGTCATCCAGCTGGATCTCTGGAGCAGATTGGTGAGTGGTGGCAGCATGGGGATGGTGACAGAAAGGAAAAGTTGCACTTCGTGAGGACTATTCTAATAAATAATAATAGTAGGCAGCTACAAATTCTAAGTGGGACATTTCCTTCACTTCCTTCTTTTTCTTTTGAACCTGACTAGAGTATTGGACACTTTTAAAAAAGAGTGCAAGCTCTTTGGCTTGCAGAGTATGCAAGAAGAAAAGAGAAAGTCACCATCATGAAGTGAAGGAACATGGAGTTTGTTCACACTTTCCAAGGAATATATTGCATGAATTTCAGTGGTGTTTCATAAGAGGATGCAGCAAAATACTAGATCCATTTGCTACTGGGTTGATATTTATTGAGAAACAACATCTGAAACTTAATCTGTGTTATAACTGTAGCTAGCATGCAGCTAGAAGGGGTAAGCCATGACCCCTTTGTTATGTCCCTCCCCCTAAAGCTCTCACTGGAACAACAACAAATAATGTCATGTTTGAGCCAAACAAGATTTCTGTGATGTTGATTTTGTCAGGAAAATGGCTCAGAAGGAAGTGTAATCTCCCTTCTCCCATCACTGTAGCCCTGAAATGGATCAGGAGTTTCTACCCTGGATAGAGGATCATGTCACAAACATTCCAGTTATTAGAAGGCTTCTCTGTTGTTGTGGATAGGTTCAAATACAATGTTTGCCACAAACTCTCTAGGTAGCCTTAATTACCCTGCTTACCCCTGTGAAAACTAATTCCACATCTGCAGTATCAAACTGATCTATCTTATAGGATGATTGTGAGGTTCATTTAAAGAAATCTATGAACACAGCACAATAATGGCATGTTGTTTGGGAAAGATGAAAAAAAAACTTTCCCTTCATTTTCCCATGCCTAACAACTACATTCCAGTGTAATTTTCAAGCAAAGGAACAAATTACTAGGTGGCTCTTACCTTCTAAATTAGTAGCATGGTTCAGCCTGCGGGTTCACTTTATCACTTTTTAGACTATCTAGGGTAAAAGCTGTCTATATCTTCACAGGTTTGTTTGGTGGAGACATGGCAGAGGGCCTTCTCTGCCACTGCTACTAGAGTCTGGAACTTCCTCCTATTGGAGGTCAGGATGGCCCCATCTTTGCTTTCCTTCCACAGGCAGCTGAAGACCTTTCTCTTCAAGCAGGCTTTTCTTCAGTGGTTGGCTGTCTGAAAGAGGTTTTTAAGTTGAGTGTTATGCCTTGTTGCTTTGAATGTGTTTTGGTGTTGATTTTGTTTACCATTTTAGTGTGCTATTTGTTTGATGCTTTTTAAATATTTCTATACAAGTTTTTTAGTTTTTATGTATTGTCCTTTACTGATGTGTGCCACTTTGGGTCCTTTTTATGGAGACAGGCAAGGTAAAAATATATTAAAAAACCAAATAAATCTATGATGCTAGCATACCTGTGACAAGGCAGTTGTGTGTGGTCCTTTACTAAACAAGACAAAGCACTAAAACCAGGATTCACCACTCCTTCTTACACAGGCCATGTTTCATGCCTGTCTTGGAGAAGCAACTAAAACAGACTAGCTATCTAAATTCACATGTACCCTCTGAAACAAATGGCATGCTCATGCAGCTGGCACACTAACCTAGCAAATTGCAGTCAAGATGTCTCTCTTTATATACTTGTAAATCTCAGATTAAGTCTTCCAACATCTTAGGAGGAAAGAGCAGCTTCTTTACAAGGTAGGTATTTGTTCTATAACAGTCTCTTTTGCTTGTGCATTGTTGTTATCGTTATATACAATGTTTGACTATGCAATGCTGAAGGAATGGGATAAATAGTTTCTAGCAACTTATATTAATGAAAAGTCAAACCTTTTATGTCAAGGAATATTATAATCATTTAAAAGGCAAGATTTTATTTAAAAAGATAAGAATGATATGATCACTTCTTGGTGTATTTTTCACTATCATTTCAGTTGTTTTTGTATTTGTAGCGTGACGTTAAGAAAGGCTCTTTTTTTGGTACATATAAGTACATCCACACCTTGTGTTAGTTTTCTAATGCAAAACTTATCATCCCTCATAAGTGGGTATGGTGGCTGCTGGGAGTTGCAGTCCAACATCTCGAAAGCGATATTTTCTTCATCTCTGAAATAAGGGCAAGTTGCACAGTTCAATGCCTGAATTCTGTTCCTTGGGTTGCTTTCAGGTGAGACTACTATTCTACAATCACCCTACCACAATCACAAATGTTATATGGGTGTTGGGAGTTCAGAATCTAGACCTGTGTCTTAGATTTGTAACCATCTCATGTTTTCTCATATTTTATGTCCCCCCCCTTTTTTTATTAACTAGGGAAAGACAGAATAGATAGGAAGTAGTGTTTTACTTGATAATGAAAGAAAAAGCATCACTTAATATCCAGACAAAATAACTCATACTTCTTCTCTTACAATTTCTGGAATAGGTCCAAAACTGGGGAAGACACTTCCTACTGCCACTGGTAATTTCTAACTTAGAACATACTAACCTGACCTTGACCTATTTCATAGCTATTACAGTATGTTGTTTGTGTTTAAACAGATAATCATCACGAGACAGTCAGATTTAGCTTTACATTATTCAGCTGTTGGTACAGAGGGCTAACTGTTCTCCATTCTTCTCCTGCTCCCACCCCCTCCTGCTCCGATGCTTTTCTGTTTGTACACAAGATCGGGTTGAATTGTCCTGAGATAAACCCCACTTAAGCATGTGACTTTGTTCATCAACATTCATATGAGCAGAAGAGGCTGGGGACAGAAACTACGTGGCGTGCTGCGTTCCATTCTCTTTCCGATGCATTTTGAAAGACCATGGCTCGGAGGTTTAAAAGTTCCTCATAAAGTGACAAGTGGGTTAATTTAGAGGGCGGGGAGAGCCAAATAATGACTGCCGGAGCATATTAAAGATGCATCTTTAGGCAGACTTTCGAATTTAAATATTTTCCTCTGACTGCCTGAGGAGGCAGGCAAATAAGTTTGTCTCCCAGCCAGAAAGGTTTTTTGAGATCTTGACGAAATATGAATAGCTCATGCGCCCAATGGCAGAGCCACGTCTACTTTCGAGTCGCTGAAGGCAACGGAGAGTGCGAAGAGGAGCAAATAGGGAAGCACGAAGGCCGTAACTGCTGCGACTCGAACCCCTCGCGCCGTGCCTTCCATAATCCCATAGAGGGCGACGGCGTCCTAACCTAAGTCTTCCACCGTGGCCGAAAGAGAGCGCCCCATCTCTGCTTCTGCCACTTAGGAGGCGTGCGAGTTCGTGCGCCCCTGCCACAAGCTCGCCACCGGCACTCCGAATGGTTCTGTCCCTGGATGCTGGATCTCCCAGTCTTGTACAGATCAGCCGACTAGCAGCGTTTAGTCTGATGTCAAAGCGCAAATAAGTGATGGGACATTATCCTGTTTGGGAAGCCATCTTTCACTGTGCGTATGGACATTTCTTCCGAGCGTGTGCAGAGCACCTTTCCTCTAGTTCTAAAAGATAATCAGCGAAAAAGTTCTAAAGCGAATGGCTAAAATGAAGAAATGATGTAACGCTGAGCAATTAATAGTTTAGTTACAAAATCAGAAAGGAAGAATACAGCCGATCGTTCAAGGTAAAACACTCAGGAAAAGAAGTGCAAGAAGAACAGCTTCTTAGCTGAAAAATCTTAAGAGACCGCTTTGGATGTAACGCGACATCATTGTTTGAAGCTATTGCCTCCGAAGTCAGAACAACGACGATGGTGTTCAATCTCCAGTTTGAGAGGAACGAGAAGTAACCGTAATTTACAGAATTAGAGTGGGGGAATGAGCGTCCGGGATTTATTTTTATTTTACTAAATTTATATACCGCCCATCTAGAACATGTCTACTCTGGGCGGT